GGGGGGACTGTGTAGAGTGTGGTCTAGAGCCTACTATCCAGCGACGCCTGTGCCTGGTCAAGGAGGAGCAAGTGCGCACATTTTCCAGGGCGGGACATGTTTCTTTATATCTACCAACGTCGCCTTCATGCTACCTACTCCAAACTTCATCGCCCATCGGCGCATGTCTTTTCTCAGAGCCCGGCTGACCCAGTCCCGTTGCGCCTTTCTCGTCTTTCTTTTTTTTGTCGCTGCCGTTCAGGGGGTGAAACCCCCTTTCCCCTTCCGTACCGCGGCTGTCGTTTTCATTGGCGGCATTTGTCGCCTTCGCTAATTCCCCGCATGTTCCTCGGCCGCTCCCCGGATTCCTGTCGCGCCGCGTGCGGGGACACGGGCGGACTGGGGTGCACTCCCCGCATGCTGCGCGGCGTCAGCCTCCGAGCGAGCTTGATTGGGAACCTCCATCGGCCGGTCTACTGCCGGAACTTGACCAGGAAGCGACCCTAGGCCTGCTCGAGCCAGACAGAAAGCAAGTTGGCGATACCACCCCAGGCCACCAGCCGCGATCCTCGGCTCCTGCTGGCTGGAGGTGGGTGAGGAAGCCGTCGCGATGCTGTTTGGAGCTCGGACGAGGCTTCCGGGTCTGGCATGGGTGTCGCCCCCAGCACAGGACGTATATCTCCCCGAGTGCTCGTTGGCCTCCCGCTGATTGGCAAGCCAGGCGCTCGTCTTCTAGGTGGGGGATGAAACCCATGATACGATTCCTGCTCGAGTTAGCGCAGGCCTAACGACGGTTAGATGGGCCGCTGTGATTAGGCGCTGTTCTCACCCACCACTCCGCTTGCTCTCTCGGAGCTGGTCGAGTCCGAGGGGCTGGAAACCGATGGTGACTGGCGCGCAACATGTAGGCCGAGAAGCCGGCGTCGCTGCGCCACGGGTATTTAATTTCGGGTGGAGATAGGAGTCTCTTCTCTCTTCGTTTAGGGGGCACACTGCTGAACCTGACGTCGAGATTCGAGCGCTTGTAGCCCTCGGAAAATAGGTAGGCCACACATATATCCTCACTCTTCATACTCGTGGAGAAAAGGATGGGCAGTTCTGTAGTAGCGGAAGATCTCTGTGGTATTGAGGGCTCGGTTGACTGCCAACGATGGTCTGTGGCGTCGATGAGGGTCGTGATACTAGGTCCGCGCGGAGACCGCCGGAGCTACGCGTTCCTTGCGGAATTTTGGTCTCCTAACACATGGACTTGTTTGTCGACGACCGGGCGGCATGACAAATCTTGAAGATGGATATGGATTTATGGTCAACTGAAACCAAGGTTGAGTGTGGTGTCCACTGCATTGCGAACACGAGCATGACAAATTGACATGTAATAGATGTCCTGTAACCATTGAGGAGCAAGCTGGATGTGATGCCCGGATTCAGATCCTTTCCCCAAAGTTCGTCAGACTGCCAGCCAGTAGCGCTCTGGCGCCAAAGAAGCACGCGCCAGCCAAGAAGACAATAGCTAGATAAAACCCGGAAAGAGCCGTTGGTCCCATCACCTCCAGCATGTGACCCCCGATGGGCACGCAGATGAGGAGCGAGAAGCTGACAACAAAGTTCATGGTGCCTAGATCCGTGAGGGAGTGTGTGGTCAGGTGTGTGGCCCGAAGGAGAAGCCGTCTTGGGAGGGGACTCTCACCAAAGTAACGTCCGTAATCCTTGGGGTCGCATGTCTTGCCCATGCATACTGGGCAGACAAGACCGCGGTTAGCAGTGCTCAGCTGGAGCAGGTAGGGTACAAGGGTCGACCAACCTGGAGTGAGTGCTAGGAACGACCCCGACCCGAACCCCCAGAGGGCGGCAAAGGCATACAGGGCCTCGAGCGATCGAGATGCAAAGGGAACAAAGATGGTGGCCATGAACAGCAAGGTAAGCCCGATGGTGACGAGCAGCACGTTGAAGTGCCCAAAGTGGTCACCGCATATGCCCGGGATGATGCGGCCCAAGCATCCGCATCCGTTCGCGAGCGCCACCAGGGCATAGCCAGTCTGGGGGCTAAAGCCGGCCACGATGGCATACGTAGGGAGCAGGCCGCTGATGCCGTAGACGACGAACTCGATGAGGAAGAGGGCCGCGGTGATGAGCGAGAAGGACGGGGAGTTGAAGGCGGAGAAGTTCAGCACGGCCGATCGTTTCTGCAGACTGTGGGGAGCAGGACTGGCAGGGTTAGTTCCTCGCCGGTTTCCATCAACCTGCCCCGCCTCAAGGCCGAGCTGTTCAATTCCCGTGCGGGCGGTATCCGGGCCTTGGCCGGGAACATGCATCGGTAGAGCGGTGGCGTCCTGGTTGCTGCTGACCAGTGAGGAAGCAGCAGAGATGACAATCAAGCGTTGATAGGGCATGAGGCACAAAACCCCGAGGCCCATGATGCCGGCAACAAAGAAGGCCAGCGCTCTGATGGACCAGGTCCAGCCGACGGCGGGGAACAGCTGGCGGAGGAGGAGTGGGATGACGATGGCACCAACGGAGGAGCCGCTCATGGCGATGCCGACGACGAGGCCCCTGCGGTGCACAAACAGCTTGGCGACGCACGACATGGCGACGGTGGACGCCAGGGCGCCGCCGACGCCGCCCAGGACGCCCAGGCAGAGCATAAAGTGCCAGTAGGCCTCGCACTCGGCCAGCAGGAAGAACATGGCGGTCACAAGGACGGCAGAAGCGGGAGCGAGGTGGCGGGAGCCGTAGACGTCGAGAACGGGCCCGACCTGGATGCCCAGAAGCAGGGCCAGGAAGGTGATCATGCCCGAGATCCAACCGATGTCGCGGGCCGAATAGGCGCTCAGCTGGTGTAGCTGAAGGTAGGATTGGATAACGCCGATTGCCATCATTAATCCTTTATCCGAGCATTATTGTCAATAACATGGCGCGTATATCTGCGTGACGGTTAGGGTTACTGCTCGGCAATGGAATCATCGCACCATAGGTTGGCAGCAAGAAGAGCCAGGCGCCGAGAACACAGAGCCAGGCGAGCAGGCCTGGCTCTGTGTCTATGGCCTGGCTGGCGGCTGGTACGGGAGAAGGAGTCCTGGAACACGCCGCTGTCGAGGGCCGCTGGTGATGTCCGACGTCTTGAGCGATGAAGGCGCCGGCTCCGGGCTCGGCAGCGACCGGCGCAGGGGCCGATTTCGGAGACAGATCTGAAGGTGCCACCACTGCCGAAGATCGGACCCGTTCTCCTGCGTTGGCCATGTCCCTCATGCTGAATGCTGAATATTCTCGGGATCTAATGGTGATAGCGGACTTGAAGACGGTATTGGACCTGGATTTGCAAAAGCAAAAGGCAACAACCATGCGGTAACTGAACCCCAGAGGCTGCTATTTAAAATGTATTATCATTCCCTCAAGCGCCGCGACACACGCCCTTGCGATGACATTATGGGCCTAACATGTTCCGCGGATGCGCGCAGCCCAATGATCTGGGTTGGAGTTGCAGTGCCGTGGCTCCTGCTTGCACCTCCCGGCTGCGGGTTGTCCACGTCAATGGCGGATGCGAAGCTCATGTCAAGCATCCAGGCATGTTCTAGACCATCAGTTGGAGAGGGCTTGTTGAGTGATGAATGCGACCAGCATGCACGTTGCATGCACGCTCAAGGCCTGTTTGGGAGATTTATATCGAGGTCGGTACGGCCAGCGCCGCGACGAGCCGCCGCCTTCCGACGGAAGCCGTGCCCAGCCCTGACGGGCCCAGTGCCGGAGCAGACTCGCCCCCGGCGCATGCCAAGAGGTTGATAGGCGTCAGAAACGGTATCCAGGGCTTTTGTATCGATAAGGCGTTGGAGAACACACGGGCACCCAGGGACTATCTACCAGTAGTAGAACTATTCACGAAGGCTTTCCTATTCGTATTTTCTTCCCGTTATTCGTTTCTTTTTCCTAATCTTATCTTTATCATTTTATTCCTAAAACAGGCTATTTTTATCCCAATGGTAATTCTCATCCCTTGGACCCGTACTAGCAGCCTTTCTGCTGTCAAGATGGGACTGCCATTTTCTTTTGTGCTACCATCTGCGAGGGAAACAAAGGATAAAAACCCACCTGGTGACAAGGGGGTAACAGGGGGTTTGAAACTGGAGATCGCAGGGGTTTTGGTGACTTGCGGGGATGTCCGAGAATTTCTCGTCCGTTGAAAGCTTTTCTTGTCCTTTAAAAGCTTTTCTCGATTTCTCTCATTCTTTCACCAGCTTTAATAATGGCAGTGACTTTATGCCAGCACGTGGCCCCCTTTCGCCACCCCTGTGATTTCCAGTTTTAACCCCCCTGTTGCTGGGTGGGTTTTTATCCTTTCTTTCCCTCGCAGATGGTAGGTAGGCGTGATCCCGGCTGGCTGCTGACTGCGGGCAGAGTGGGCAAGCGTGTGCCCGCCCCTGTCCCCTACCTTGTGGATCGCAGAAAAGGGAAGGCATTGAGCGAGGGAAATAAGGGTTGCAGCGAGGATTTTCCCGGTCTCCACAGGCAATCGTCGCCAGTGCCACACGCACTGCGTCCAAGGCAGATGCCGACGGCCGGACGAACTGCGGCAGACAGAGACGGACAGCAGGCGTGGGCCCGACGGGTTGAAGGAAAAATATTGACATGGGCTGCTGCCAAATCTGGCACAACAGGCCGGGGCTGCCAGCCCCTTGGAGCCGACAGGGTCACGGCAGACTCGCATTTTCGTGGGGATGAGACAGGAACAATCAAGCTTTGAGGCTACTTTTATTGATACGAGGTGTCAATATTTGGTCCCTGACAGCGACGAAAGTGTCATGGTTGTGGCCGAGGTGCCGGGAATGTTGGTCACTCTCTGTTTGTAAGTGAGTCTCTTTTCATTCTTGCGTCCGAGGTTGGTGTTGGACACCTGCCTGTCTCTCCTTTCCCTCTACCTTGACGACTCCTAGGTTACCTACTCGTTGTTGTTGTTGTTGTTGTTATCGTTCAAACCAGTCCTTGCTGGCAGGGCAGCTGTCGTCCGATTTGCGCAGGGCAACGTCCCAAAGAGGCAGGCGAGGAGACCCCTTTTTGCTGGCCGAGGCAGAGAAGCAGTGGAGCACGGGCAGCCTTTTCCACCTTCGTTCCTTCTCCTCAGGGGGTGATAGTCTCCGTTGATGTCAGCCGCCTTCAGGCGGCCAGCCCGCTGCCCCACCCAACGAGCAGTGAGAGCCCATCGCCTCCAATTCTGAAGCCCCACGGCTCGGTGCAATCACGAACTTTGTGAAATTGCGATGGCGGCTTCTCCGCACCTCTCTTCATCACCACCAGAACCACCAGATGGAGCCTCCCCACCGACGCTCCCACCACGCGCTCACACCGGCAGCCAACGCCCAACACCCACCCAGTCGGCCCAGCCGTTGCCACCGAACCCTATCGTCCGGCATAGGGGCTTCGTCGTCCACAAAAGTCGCCGCGATGCCCTTCCCTTTGCTCGAGTCTGTTCTTTGCCAACACGCCTCTTGCAGTCAAGTCAACCGACCGGCCCAGCTTCCCAGTCTTTCGCTCGCTCCCTCGGCTTGAATACTTTCTTCAGCCATCCATTCTTTCAGCTGGCCAGCCGTCTGCTCCCCCTCCCCTTTGACAAGATGCCTTCCGCCGCCTCCGTCATGCGTGCCGCCGTCCTGGCTGGCGTCGCCTCGGCCCTGCCCGAGTTGGCCCCGCGCCAGATGGTGACCAACAGCTGCGCCGACGTCCACATCTTCCTGGGCAAGGGCAACAACGAGCCCTACCCCGGCCGCCAGGGCAAGCTCGTCTCGGCCATCTGCAGCGGTCTGTCGTCGTGCGACTACGAGGACATCCAGATGCAGAACATGCTCGAAGACGAGTTCTGCGGCGCCGTCACCCAGGGCATTACCAACGGCCACGCCCAGATCGTCGCCTACAACAAGCGCTGCCCCAACTCCAAGATCGTCGTCAGCGGCTTCTCCCAGGGTGCCCAGGTTGTCGGTGATATCTTCTCGGGCGCCGGCAACACCGGCTTCAATGGCTGTGTCATCCCCTTCATTCCGGCCCTGGACATCACCAGCAATGCCGGCCGCCAGGTCGCCGCCATCCTGACCTTCGGTGACATCAGGCACACGGCCTTCCAGCCATACAACTACAAGAGCGGCGCCACCAACTGGGGCACAAGCCCGCGCACCACCGACCAGCTGGCCAAGGCCATGAACTACGCTGGTGTCTGGAGGGACTACTGCAACGCCGGCGACCCGGTCTGCGCCGGCGGCAACGTTGTCGACGAGCACCTCAACTACTTTGACGTCGACACTCCCGACGCCGCCGCGTTTGTCCAGAGGCGCATCGCCGCCTTCCAGGGGCCCGTCAAGTCCAGTACCCCGGCCCCGGGTCCCACCCCGGCCCCCACCACCCGGTCCCCCTTCACCAACGGCACCATGACCACGAGCTCCCCCGGCTCAACCGTTCTTACCGTTACCGATGTCTCTGGCGCTGTTACCGTCTACACCACTGTCTGCCCTGAGACGTCTTACACCGAGAATGCGCACACCGTCACCCCTCCCGCCGGCCACTCCCCGACCGTCAAGCTCCCTCTGCCCGAGGCCACCTGCGAGACCACCGAGAACCTCTCGGCAATCCCGACCACCGCCGCCCCCACCAGCGCCCCTGCCGTCCAGCCCACCGGCGGTGTCGTCAAGCCCACCAGCAGTGTCGTCAAGCCCACCGGCGGTGTCGTCAAGCCCACCCCGTCGCAGCCCGTCTTGAGCGGTGCTTCGGCCACTGGTGCCGGCTTCTTCGGCCTGGCTGCTGCCATTGTCGCTCTGGCTCTCTTGTAAAGGGGCTCTCGCCTAGTTCGCTAGTTTTACGCTGGTGATGCGGATTATTACATATGTAATAATGGTGGGTATCTGCTTTGGTCTCGGAGTTGACGACAATGTAACGCCGCGACATGCCCTTTTCCGGTTGTAAACGATTTAGATTTAGCTAGTAAACCGTTTAATCACATAATGTCAAAGATTTGCATTCAAATATGGTTCCTTTGATATGATCTGGACACTAGAGTATTGTGAAATGACGTTAGTAAAATCATGGGTGGGGGTACGGCCAGTGGTAGTCTGGCAGTCAGTTAGGGATGGTCACTGGTACAAGGAGCACCCCTTTCCGCCGCGTGTGTTGTGTGAGGTCATGTATTGCTCGGAGGTGATATTTTGCTGTCCTCCTCTTTCGTTACATACTACCCCTCATTGTCTCCACTTCACGAGCTGCCTACCTACGAACGCACGCTTCACAATCGACACAGTTTTGGCCTATAGAAAATATTTTTTGTCACTGGCGACCTTCCTACTATCTCGCGCCCTCCGGAACCCGTTCTTTCACGAGTCGACAGCCGACTAGAATGTCCCCCCGCTCGGCTGGATCCAGGCGGCGATCCAGGCCAACGTGTTCCTGTACGGCTTCGACGCCACCATAACCGCCAGCACCTACGCCGTCATCAGCTCCGACTTTGGCGTCGTGGCTGACCACGTCGTACACCTCGTCACGAGCACCGCCTTCCAGCCGCTCTACGGCCGCTTCTCCGACCTGTTCGGCCGGCGCGTCTGCTTCTTCGCGAGCTGCGTCGCCTTCGGCCTCGGCTGCCTGGGCTGCGGGCTCGCCACAGACTTTGTCACGCTCAACCTCATGCGCGCGCTCTCTCTGGGTTTGGCGGAGGGGGTTTGATCACCATGGGTAAGCTTTACTGCCCCTTTTCCGAATTGTCCATTCCCCGGAGAGCACTAGCTAACCCCCCCGGCTTCCAAGCAACCATCATCAACTCGGACATGATACCTTTCCGGGGCATGTACCAGGCCATGCAGAACGGCGTCTTTGGCTTCGGCTCCGTCTCTGGCGCGTCGTTTGGCGGCATCATCGCGGATCACATCGGCTAGCGCTAGTGTTTCCTGCTGCAGGTGCCCGTCTCGGCCATGGCCCTGCTGCTCGGGTACCTTGTGGTGGAGAACCCGGCCGCGGATGTCCACACGAACCGGGATGACGACAACGGCGACGTAGACCTAGCGCCCAAATCAGCTTGGAGACGAGTCGACATTTTGGGCTCCCTCGTCCTGGTCTTTGCCGTCTCGGTCCAGCTCCTGGGCCTCAGTCTCGGCGGCAACGAGCTACCCTGGAGCAGTCCCTGGGTCGTTGCAGCCCTCGTCGTCAGCGTCTTCCTCTTTGCGCTCTTTTTTCGTCGTCGAGGGCAGGACCTAGGCCACGCCCATCATCCGGCTGCATCTCCTGCGCGGGTCGCTGCCGATTCTGACTCAAACGGCCAACATGTGCCTCGGCCTGTCGGCTTATGCGGTATGTAGTCCTATTGCTTCCCTTTCTGGGAAAAAAAGGATCTTGGTCCCCTCTCCATGTCATCGAGGCAGCTTTTAAACGGGCCTCGAGTAAAGTCAGGCGCGCTGACCGCAGGCCGGTGGGTGACTCTCGACTCAGTACCTCTTCATGCTACCCTTGTTTTTCCAGGTCGTCCTCGAAGACTCAGCCACTACGGCCGGGGTAAGACTGGCCATTCCCTCGCTGGCAACTCCGCTCGGCGGTCTCGTCACTGGACTGGCCATGGCCCGGTGGGGGAAGCTGCTCTGGCTGATGCGGCTGGGGGCGCTGGTCATGGTGCTGGGAAACGCGCTCGTCACTTCGTTGAAGTTCAGCGACTCGAGCTGGAAGTACATTGCGTACATCTTCCCGGCCAACCTGGGCCAGGGCATCGTGTTCCCCTCATCCTGTTTACGGCTCTCGCTTCGTTTGAGCATTCAGGTTCGTGTAAAATTGCAACGAGGACTGTTGCTCCGCCTCGCGTTTCGGGCGGTCCGCTCTGCCGACAGGTCTTTTGCCATGTGCCGGCTCAGACCACGCCGTGACCGCGTCGACCATATACCTGATCCGGTCGCTGGGCCACGTCTGGGGGGGTCGCCAGCACGTCAGCGATCGTGCAAACCACGCTAGGCGCCCGGCTCCCCGCAGCGCTCGGAGATATGGCAGACAAGGCCGAGGTGAACGAGAATGAATCATTCGATCTCACTTGGCCGCCAAGACCTCGACCTCGAGGAAGAGAAAGGACGGACAGGCTAACAGATGTCTTGGCAGTTGATTGACGAGATCCGCCATCCCGTAGCCGCGCTCAAGTCCCTGCTGGTGGAGGTGCGACTGGCGGCTCGCAGGGTGTACTACGACGGCATCCGCTATGCGTTTGCGACATCAACCGGTATGGCGGCCGTGGCCCTGATGCTGGCCCTGCTGGCGAGTCCTCGAGGATTGCGCCGGAATATTAAATAGCACATGCAGACGGGCATGGCACATCTCAACTCTCGGTGCAGTAGCTGATACGTGGGGGTCTGCTAGTCCGAGCCGACAAGGATGGCAGCCGCGGGTTCTGGAGATGATTGATGACTTGTTGATTTTCCTCTTTGGGGCTTGTAGGGCGGCACGGGCTTCCTAAACGCCGACATCAACAAAGGAGGCGGTGAGAAGCTCCGACGAGGCCGCTAATATGTGGAGGCAGCAGCGAATTACCAATCACGCCGACCTGCATGGGACGAATACAAGCAGCAGCATAGCTGACAAAACAGACCCCTGTCTGGCTCGGTATAGACTCGGAAGATGAAGAAGAAGAAGAAAGATGTCAGTTTATACAAATACTCCCCGGGACACGCACAAGTCGACACGGAAATGGAGTTCGAGACACAAGGCACCAGGCAAGCAAAGCAGCAGGACCGCCTCAAATCCCTCGCAAACCACAGTCACATTACATCCCGCAAACTATCACCATGTCGAGGCTTTTCACCCCCCTGAAGCTGGGCAAGTCCCAGCTTGCCAATCGCTTGGCCCTGGCACCCATGACACGGTTCCGCGTCGACGACAACTATTTGCCCATTCCGGCTGTTAAAGGTATGTGCAAGCCTATATTCCATGTAAAAGCCTGTTTTGTAGCAACCTCACAAACCTAACAAGACCGGCCCTATAATCGCAGACTACTACGAGCAGCGCGCCGCAGTGCCGGGGACCCTCCTCATCACCGAGGGCATCCTCGTTTCGACGCGCCACGTAGGCCACAAAAACCTGCCCGGCATCTGGTCCGAGGAGCAAGTGACGGCCTGGCGCGAGGTTACCGATGCCGTCCACGCCAAGGGCGGCGTCATCTACGCGCAGCTGTGGGCGCACGGCCGCACCGGCGAGCCCGGCGTCTTTGAGGAAATGGGCTCCAAGCTAATGGGGCCCAGCGCCATCCCCATGAGCGAGGACAGCCCGACCCCCGCCGAGATGACCGAGGACGACATCCGGCAGCTCATCGCCGACTACGCGCAGGCGGCCCGCAACGCCATCAGGGCCGGGTTCGACGGCGTCGAAATCCACAATGCCAACGGCTACCTGCTCGACGAATTCCTGCAGGACGTTTCAAACCAGCGGGTCGACGGCTGGGGCGGCAGCGTCGAAAAGCGCGTCCGCTTGCCGCTCGAGGTCGCCAAGGCCGTGGCCGAGGCAATCGGGGCCGACCGCACCGGGATCCGCATCAGCCCCTACGGCAAGTTCCAGGGCATGCTGATGGCAGACCCCGACCCGACGTTTAGGCACTTTATCGAGCAGCTCGCGCCACTAGGGCTGGCGTACCTGCACGTCATCGAGACGCGCCAGGCGCTGGTCGAGCTCGGGATCGAAGACACGCCGGACCGGAGCATCGACTGGATCGCAAAGCTGTGGGCCAGCAGCGTGGGCGGCCCCGTCATCGTCGGCGGGGGCCACACGCCCGAGTCGGCCAGGCAAACGGTCGAGGAGCGGTTCAAGGGCCTGGATGTACTGGTCGGGTTTGGCCGGTGGTTCATCTCCAATCCTGATCTCGTCTTTAGGATTCAGCACGGCGTCGAGCTGACAAAGTACGACCGCAACACCTTTTACATCCCCAAAAGTCTGGATGGATATGCCGATTACGGCTTTAGCTCTGAGTACCAGGTTTCTCAGGGGAAGAACTAACTGTCGGGCTATGTGGTCTTCGATTGAGGTGGCGTCTTTCTTCTTGATATTTGGCTGTTAGCGGGCGCTGATTGGGCATGATGCAGCAGCGAATCTTGGCTTCTTTCCAGTATTATTAGCATACATATCTTCAATCGAGAGTATGCATCATTCTCTCGTCAGCGAGCAGGACTTGTGATTGAACTACCCAAACTCCTTCAAGTGCTCTTTCCGCGGCGATTGTCGTAAAGGAGCGACTGGGTTCTTTACGGGGGATTTACCGCAGCACGCCCACCAGAGCAAAATGTGAGTGTCTTTTAGGGATAGAAATAAAAATGGGAATAGGAAAGCTTGCGGGGTTAAAAATTCGACGCAAATCTTCGGGACGGGCTATAAAACTACCTTTTTTTTATGGTAAGCGTGCGCGGGTACGACATGATTCCAGTACAGGTTAAAATACCAAGGGTTTCGACATTCTCAGAGCGCACTCGTTTATACAACGCCCGAGGGATTCCCACCCTTGACAATCTCTTCCCCCTCTGACGAGGCCCCCTCCTCTATTTTGGGCGGGGCAGGACACTGTCCAGCTCGTCGGCGGCGGCGAGGGCAAAGGCCGCCGCCGTGAGGGTGGGGTTGCAGGCGTTCCCGGTCGGGATGACGCCGCAGCCCCCGAGCACGAGGTTGCCCATGCCGTGCACCTTGCCCGTCTTATCCACCACGCTCTTGTCGACCCCCGTGCCGGCCCGGTACGTGCCGCAGACGTGCAGCGCCGAACCCATGGGCAAATACTTTGGCTCGGCACCCGGGAGGAAGCCGCCGAGAAGCCTCGCGATGGCGACCATGCTGCGTAGGGCGTGGGCTAATTAGTGTCTGCTCCCCCCCTCAATCTTACTTGTCGACAGGGACTGGAATCTACTCACTCGACGAACATGTCGTCGCACCTGTCTCTATCCCCCTTAGTCATCTCGAATTCGAAGGTGGGCTGAGCACGCGGCTAGTTAATTAGTACCAAAGATATCGGGTGGGTAAGATTACACGTACCTGCGGCATCCCAAACCCGTCGTTGGTGTCAGGTTTGAATGTCACGCGGTTTTCCTTCTTCGGTGTCGTGTAGCCAAAGGAACGCAGATCGACGACAACGCGCTGGTCGATGCCGTGCGGGACCTCGTCGTAGCCGAAGGCGTCGCGGTGGATCTGCATGTGCCACGGTTTGTCCTCGCTGAAGCGGATACAGACCTGGGAGTCGGGGTCGTTCAACGGAAAGGGGAGCGGATCCAGCCTGTCCCAGGTCGCGTCCATACGGTCCTTGAACTCTTTGGCCTCCTCGGCGGTAAATCTCTCGGATTCACCGGTCTTGCGGAGATGATTGAACTCCTCGGCAAACCCGTGCTTCAGTATCACCTGGCAGAATGAGAGGGTTTGCTCCGTCATGAAGTGGCCCTGCGATTTTGTTCAATCCAGTTAGTAAGGGCCGCGCTTGGGTATCTAGAGAGTGAACGCGTTGGCGGCGGGGGAAGGAGGCGTGTACCATGGCAGGGAGATGGTGGCGGTCCGTCTTTAGCTCGGTGCAGAAGCCAGATTGGTGGAGGATGCCGACCGTCAAGACGGCGCCAGCTCAGCTGACATACTTCTTCGCCTTGATCTCGAAGGTCCCCGAAGGGTCGTGGAGTATGTCCTTCACAGTCATTTTCGTCACCTCGCCCTTGGCAAGCTCAAGCTTCATGCACTGCATGTTGGGCCAGATCCGGAACTTGGGGTGTGTCGAGTTTGGCGCCGAGAGGTTTCCAAGAATGGTAGTCGAGCAGGACCACTCAATGTAGTCGGCATGCTTGGGCGTGCAGGCGAGCGGCATGCTTTGGACGGCAGACGCCCTGTCTGGAAGCTTGCGCTGGAGTTCAGTCAAGACGAGTCGGTGTCGAATCGAGTCGTCAAAGGACGTGGTGTTGGTGTTGAACAGAGTCTCGGCCCGACGATAGAGCCCATCCTACTGGTCGTTGTCGAAGAGCTCAGACCTCTCCAGCTCGTGCTGCCGCGGCGTGCAGCACGTCCAGTGAGACCCCATGCCGCCGATGACACGAGTTGCCGCTGACGCAGGCAGATTGACCGAGTCATCTTGGGAGGGATTCTGGCCGGTCCTGCAGAAGGCCGATTTTGGGGACCTACAAAGGTTCAAATTGTTAACAATGGGGCAGTAATACCGAGGCTACTGGCATTTCAAGTACATACCAGGACGATAGGTCGCGGGACATGTATTCCTTGCTCGTGGGAACGGACAGGAGTCGCAGGTCGCCCTAGAAAACAGAGCAAGAAGGTTGCGTTGGGAGGCTCTGAGCTCGCGGCAACGTACCTTTACGACGCTGCTGACGGGGGTTGCAAAGGGTAAGCAATGGTGCTCTCCAGGCTCATAGTAAGGGCGCTCTACCGTTTATGCCAAGGCAATCACTTGGTGAAGGAGCTGATATCCTTCTGGACAACGACGCTGTTCTTTTTATGATCGCCGGGGCGCCGCGTGGCCCTGCGTCCTCGGGTTAGTGCTCGGGCACATATTTCAAACGAGAAGGAGCTATAATGAACTGTGCCCACTGTTATCCCATGTCAATCATAAGGACCTTCCGTCCCTTGTCCACAAGCGTGCGGGCAAAGACGGCCCCAATCGGGCCCGAGCCGGGGATGACAACATCGAGGTCAGCAGGGAAAGAGTCAGTTGCCCTTGGGGGGACCGCCATGTTTGCGGCTCAGGTTGTTCGGCGCTTGTGATATCGTAAAAACGGAGAAACCAAGGGCGTGGCCAGGGAAAGCAGAGATGGGTTGGTATGCTGGAGTACGAACCCTTGGACATAAAATGGTAGGCTGGGGCTGCGACTTAAATACTCGGCTTCTTTCACATTTCTGCGATAGTTGGAATGGTTCCTCTACATCCCATCCCAAAGCCTCAGGCCGCAGACCCAAACGGACCAAGGTACATTGAAAGGATGGATGCGAGACAAGCTTGACCTTGTCGACCCAGAGTCACGACCTGTACTCGCCGTGAACCGCCATCTCTCACCCCAAGCACCGATATTAGGGGCAAAGACTTGAGAAGTACACAAGTATAGTACCAATATTCCCTTGTTCTTAGGGTAGTTTGAACATTGTTGATAATCCTCCTATCAGCAGGAGGCTCAGCTTTTGGGCGTCAATGCTTTCAATATGAGCATCCCTCTGCTCTCGAAGCCACTAATAAGTCGTATGCAAAAGTCCTGCATGTGATAGTAAGGAATTTTGATGCTGTGTTACCCAGGGCCTTGGCAATGCAGTGAAAGTCGACACTCAATGATCATGAATTTTCAAAGCTGGGGCTAGAACAAAGCAGTGTGGATGTGCGAAGCAGGACGTATGGAAAGGAGGGCTAGATACACATAGCCAGATGCCTTGTACCGCCACCACAGCGATCATGTCCTGGAAAAGAAACACACCGTGGAAAGGATACCTTTTGGCCTCAACTAAAGAATCCCAGTTCATCCTCTAACTGGTAATCATTACCGACGGCATTCTAGAGAGTACCCGTACTCGGGACCCCTAATACAGCAACAAAAGGTAACAAGTTGACTTGTTGATTCCCTGTCTACAAGACACATGGGTGATCAGGCCACCACTCTCGCTAGATTAAGCATTATGCGTTGAAGACGAATATTGAGTTATCGATTACTGTGTCCTCCAATGTTGGTCGAGGCCATCCTAGTAATTTTCGCTGCGCAGCCGTAGCGAGACACGCAATAGGCCGGTGGCATCCATCCCAAATCGTCCTATAGGCGGGCGCGAAGATATTCTTTTTGCATTAGTGTCGTTCGCCTCTGAGGCATTTCTTGTGAGCGGTCGGGACAGTCATGCGCAAGTGAATTGCAGCAAACAGTAAATGCGACCATGGCCGTGACCGAAAAGGGATACAAGAACGTCACCCTTCCATATAGTTAAATGCGGCTATCTCGGGAATCCTTTTACTGGATGATGCGTGTGGGGTAATTAGGGTGCCACCCTGCAGGTGGTGCCGTTTGCGGGGCACTTCTGCACCCTTCGGCGCCGAGGACAGAGGGTCTGGACCAGAGAGCCAAGGATGTACTGTCATATCAGCAAGCACTAGAATGTCTATCATCCTATCACTTATTTAGATATGCACAGTTGCTGTGCGGACGGGGGCATTGGTGCTTGTCGGAGCTAGTTTTTGCGCCGAATTGAAGCGGGTGGTGATCAAGTCAGCCACGTTATATCGCGTCGCGGAAAGGATAAGAAGGCAGAAAAATGGAAGGAAAAGAAAAGAGAAAAGAAAAAAGCGAAAACGCGGGGGACTTTTCCTCTTCTCCCAAGATAATTTGTGTCTGATCGCCTACCGGCAATAATTGGATGTGATTGTGTGTGAGGTGGGGCCCAGGCACGTGAGTGCACGGCCCATCCCGATGGATAGACCTGGACCGCCCACGGGTATTCTGCACCAGCCGTAGCCAAAACAAGACATGCCACTTTCCTATTCCGGTATCGCCAAGCGTGATACCTCACCCAGATTGTCAGCGGACACCACACACAGAGCTTCATCTTGGTCCACGCAGCACCCACGCCAAATCCCGCATGGAAAGCAAGACGGACCAGCCGCGGCGCAAAATGACTTCATACACCATCGACCCAGAGATTGCGGCCGCGATAACCGATCAGATCGAGAAACACAAGGACCGGGAGATTAGAAAGATCAACGATGTGGTTAGCAGAGCAGCCTAGGCAAAGTCACCCCACCAACTAGCCTATGCTGACCCACCCTAGATCCATCAAAACCCAGAGCTCGCCTATAAGGAGCAGCAGGCCCACGACAACTTCGTCGCCATGCTCCGCTGGCTCGGCTTTGCAGTCACCCCCCATGCCTACGGCCTCCACACGGCCTTCTCGGCCGAGGCCGGCTCCGGCGGCCGCCTGATCGTCCTCAACGCCGAGTACGACGCCCTGCCCGGCATCGGCCATGCCTGCGGTCACAACCTCATCGCCAGTGCCGCCCTGGCCGCCTACCTCGGCCTCGCCGCCGCCCTGGCCAAGGCCGGCCCCGGCGCCGGCCGCGTGCGCCTCCTCGGCACCCCCGCCGAGGAGGGCGGCGGCGGCAAGCTCAAGCTGATCGCCGCGGGCGCCTACACCGGCGCCGCCGCCAGCCTCATGGTCCACCCCGGCGCCTCGTACCTGCTGACCCCGCCGGTCCGCGAGGTCGCCTTCGTGCGCATGCTGGCCAACGTCAAGTACCAGGTCTTCTTCACCGGTCGCCCGGCCCACGCCGCCATGGCGCCCTGGGACGGCGTCAACGCGCTCGACGCCGTCTGCCTGGCCTACAACGCCGTCTCGATGCTGCGCCAGCAGATGCGCCCGCACGAGCGCGTCCACGGCGTCTTCCGCGCCGCCGGCGAGCGCCCCAACGTCACGCCCGCCGAGACGTGCGTCGAGTACTACGTGCGCAGCGACACGCGCGCCGCCGCCGAGGCGCTGTGGCTGCGCGTGCAAAAGTGCTTCGAGGGCGCCGCTGTTGCCACGGGGTGCGGCGTCAGGTACGAGCGGCTCAACTCGTACGCCGACGTGCGGCCGTCGCGCGCGCTGTGCCGCGCCTACGTCGACGCCATGCCGCCCGGCACCGTGGCGTTTGCGGACCCGCCCGACTTCCTGGCCGGCAGCACCGATATGGGGGATGTGACGTACGAGTGCCCCGGCTTCCACGGCGCGTTTGGCATCGACACCGAGGTCGGGCAGTCGAACCACACCCCGGCCTTTGCGGCGGCCGCCGGCACCGTCGAGTCGTTCCGCCGCGCCGTGGGGTGTGGCAGGGGCATGGCGCTGGCCGCATGGCGCGTGCTGAGCGACGATGCGTTTGCCGAGGAGATGAGGGCCGAGTGGGAGGCTGACATTCACGCGGCCAAGGAGGGTTAGGCGGCCGAGATGTCTGGCTCATGCTTTGGGATCATCATGGTCACAAGATCACTTTGAGAATGATGATTAGTTCGATTGCATCCATGTTTGTACACTAAGCGTAGGTGAAAGCTAAAGACTCGCCTCCAAGATCGGGTCCTCTTGGATTCCCATGTCCCGCCGCGATTAGAAGCAGGCAGAATCCGGGATCCCTCTAGGGTCTTCGCTATTCCGAGGATCACGGGGCCTGTACGGGATCTCCCCGAGAGGGACGAGGAATTCCTTGACCTTCTGTTCGCAGTCTAGGTTCATTCTGCGCCTGACCTCCCGGTCCACCGCCGCCACGGCTTCCTCATACGTCGCCCGGCCCAAAAGGTGCACTATAGCCTTGGGAGTGCGCGGTATCAGACGCGGGCTCAACAGCGTCGACTCGCACCTGCCAAATGCCGCGTCGAACGCGTGCAGGAGCTTCCGGGACACCATTTCCTCTGCCCGCCTCATGAAGAGCTTGTGTCGGAGGCTCGGAATCTCCTGATCCAGGTCATCGTAGCTGCGTTCGACGAACGTGAAGGCAATCTCATCCTGGAGCTCGGCGAGGGGACCCGTCACGACGGTACACGTCTCCTTAAAGTGCTCCTTATCGACTACATGTTTTTTCTCGGTCCTGAGGGGTTTGTCCTCGCATACAAGCATAGTGAGGGCCGATATGGAAGCGCGCGTGATGGCTGAGCTGGCGTTCATGATTGCGGACATGTGGTGTGCCGGGATCGTCGGGTTGGACATGTTGAGTTTGGTGTCGGGTGCTTGCGGCAGGAATAGAAGAGTTGAGGTATGTCAGATAGCTACCTGGGTGGGTGGGTAGGTGGGTGGTAGGTGGGTGGTAGGTGGGTGGTTGGGTGTGTATTTCTAAAAGGCACCACGGGGCCGGATACAACCCGTTAAATAGCTAGGTAGATTGATAGTGGCTATGAACGTTCTGACAATCACTAGCCGCTCTCTTTGTGCCCATTCATCGGGGTTATTCATGTGTCAAGTGACGCATCGAGGTCATTTGTATTTGTGCGACCATGTTCTTTGACTTGGATTCCTAGACCAGACAAAGACTACTAGGTTGGCAAAGCAGCCACACCGAACCGGGTGGTGTTGGTTGTCACCGACAGCGATGCTGGCTCTTGGGCGGCCCCGGCCCAAAAAGTGGCCGAGATAGAGGCTACCCAGCCTCATCCCAACAGCCTGGGCCGTGTTACCAACGGCCAGGTACCAAATTGAGCGGATTGCTCGCATCCGGCGGCCACCCCAACGTTGACGAAACGCGCGGCTGACAGTGCGCCCAATTGGGAGTCTGCCAAGCGATGACAGGGCGGGAGGGGAATAGCAGCCACACCGTTTCTGTTGCCACAAAGAAAATGCTCTCTTTGTGCTGCTGCCGTGTCTATTTTCAGCCAGGCGCACCTTGTTGGCCGGACCTCTGCGCTTATTGGCAAACTCCCGGCGTTGAAGACCTAGGCCGACTCGCTGACCCCACGGCCCAAGGCAGCGCATCCAGTGGGGAACTGATAGGCCACCGCGTGTATCTTTTGCGCTGACGCGTAGCCACCAAGCTTTGTCGGACAGGAAGCCGAAGAGATGAGCCGTGATTGACTCCTCCGGCGCCAGGCCAAGACAGAGTCTCACTGCCTGCGCCCTCTGGCTCGCCTTGGATGAACTGGAAAAGGCCAGATATGGCCGGCATGGGAAATTCTTACTCTACCCCGGAGGGCTACGTCAACCTAAAGCTCAAAAACCACGACATTGCCTTGAATGTAGGTCGGACGAGCTCTGTTGGCTGTACATATACGTCTGGTGGTGCTAACAAGTCTTCCCGCCACAGTTCCAGATACCAGTTGGAGCAGATGACGGCCGAGGAGGGGGAGAGAACGATGCTTGACTGCATCGAGGTTGTGCAGGTCCGTCCTCCATTTGCAAAGCCTGAAGGTACGTATCCACGCCCACCACAAAAGAGATGACAGTCTCGTTCAGGGATAGGAATAGAAATAGGTACAGGGACAGGAACAAAAACATGAATAATAACAGAAACAACAATAAGAAGAAAAAGTAGAGCAGGAAAGCTTATGGTACTCAGGACAAGAAGAAGACGCCACCGTCCCAGCCATGGCCAGGGTCCTCCACCAGCACTGCACCCAGCTCCTGGCCAAATACAGCGCCGACGCCATCTTCGAGGCTGCGCTCGCAGAGGCAGTGGCGCTAGTCAACGAGGAGCACAACAGCAACGCGGCGCCGGCGGGACTGTGCCTGCGCGATCTGACCGAGGCGGAGGGGGTCTTGTCGGAGGTGAAGTGGGCGGCGGCATGTATTGTTCGGCTCTGCCAGACCCATCTGAGGCGGTGTTCTTCGGCCAAACGATACCGTCTGGTCGAGTAGTTGGGAGGTGGAAAGGTGGGCCACGGCAGGCATAGAGATGGGAGCCTTCACCTTACAACAGGCGAGAAATGATCATGATTAGAATGATAAATGCGGAAGAATAACCCCCAGCCAAGATAAAACTGCGCCAGCCTCGTCTCCAGCAGGGCCACCCGGCTAACTCCGACATGACTCGTCTCTATGCTGAGTTGAATATAAAAAAAAAGGAAGAAATTGGCCGAAACCCCTCCCGCCACCAAAGCAGGGTCCCCTCAAGATCATAACGGCGTCACAAAGTCGGAACATAAAAACGCGCGGCATGTGCGCCGCGACAATGCATCAACAACAAAAGGCCACAAGCCACTCCGACTTGCCCCTTTCATACAGCATCGTCCTCCGCCACGGCCTCGTACCCTCCCCTGCGCGCTGCGCCGCTCCTCCTAGCGCCACCAATGCCCATGCCGGCGGGGCTCTCGTAGACCTCGGTCCAGTTGATGGTCTGGCCGCCCAGCATGCCCGCGCCCGTCTCGCGGCGGCCGAACACGGGGGCCGGGTCGCACCAGAAGTCGCGGCAGTTGGCGATGCAGCCGTGCGAGTACGGGTTCCGCTTGCGCTTGCGCCCGTTGTTGCCGCCCGCCGCGGCGCCGCGGCCCGTTGCCGTCTCGACGAAAGCGTCGACGCCCAGGAGCCGCGCCCACTGCTTGAGGAAGCCGCCGCCGTGCTTGTGGCCATGGCCGTGTCCATGTCCGTGGCCGTGGCCGTGACTGTGTCCCCCCGAGGCGGCCTCCTCGGGCTGGCCCATGGAGCCGCTGGGCGGAAGCGCACCGGCAGGGCCACCTGCAGGGTCTGGATTCAGCGGGGTGCCGGTGGAGGTAAAGGCCGAGTTGAGAGCGGCGGCGCCGACGCGGCTGTCGATGCCAAACATGTTCTCGTACGTTGTCATGGCGCGCATAACTTGGATGAACTGCACAAACATGAGCATCGAGACCCACACAAGCTGCAGCGACGCCCACACGCCCGTCAGGAGCGAGTAGCCGTCGGCGTTGATGAGCTTGCAGATGGAAGGGGCCAGGACGTTGCACTCGTCCGAGGCATTCTTGGAGATGGTCGAAAGGTCTGTGAAGACCAGGTTAGCCACCGTTGCGCTGCTCTGAAGTGAGGAGTCCCGCTCGGGGAAGAAATGTGCCTACAGTAGTATAGAATCCCATCATAGGCCATAATCCCGATTGTCAGGGTGATAATGTACAGGAAGAACTGGCGATGATTGTTGCTGCCCACGCAGTTATTAACCCATGGGCAGTGGCTGCAAGGAGAACGTTTGTCAGTATTTGAAACCCAAGCGGCAGCCAAGATGGGCGGACTCACTGATCATGCTTTGCTACGCAACGGTTGCACCTCTTGCAGTGCTTGCTCCGCAGGGGCGTGCGGATCATGCAAGGGACGCAGAAGTTGGCCTCGTCAAACTTCCACAGGCTAATGAGCTCGTCGATCACGGCCTTCTGCTCAGCTCTGCCGCTCATCTTGGGCACAAAGCCCGGGTCAAATAGCATACAAGCCCCATAAAAGTATGCAATAAGCCCCAGGAAGACGCCAAAGGTCAGGTTCAGGAGGTAGTGGGTCGCGTCGGCCTCGGCGTAGAGCGTGGTGGCCGGCATTACCGTAAAGAGCCAGTTCACCCCGAGCCAAAATACCGAGGCGGCAAAGATGCCGGTCAGCCAGGGCGTTTTTTGCAGCGACCGCATGTCCGAGGGCGCATACTGCAACACATTCTGGGCGATCCACTGCACGCTGTAACCAACGAGCATCATCAAGGGAATCCCCAGATATACAGGGAACGCGGCGAGAATGTGAAGGAGGCCCCAGACGAGCACAAAGGGCCACAGGAACAGGAACTTGTTGACGAAACCGCGGCGGTCCTTGAGCAGGTACGAGGCGCCGGGCCAGGTGGGCTGGACGGCGTTGCCGTCATTGTCGTAGCCGCACTCGCGCAGGGCGCGGTTCCAGGCGGCCGTGGTGTTGAGTTCCTGGGCGGTGATGGCGGGGGTCTTGCCCGTGTTAGTCTTTGCGAAGCGGTCGGCGCCGTACTCGACCACCTTCTGGACGCAGCCGGGCGAGCCCTTGACCAGGGCCCAGTGCAGGGCGGTGAAGCCCTGCTCGTCGACGGCGTGGACCGAGGCGCCCCAGCGCAGGAACAGGTCGACGCAGGCAGGGAAGCCCTTGTAGGCGGACCACATGAGGCCCGTGTGGCCAAAGGCGTCGGCCACGTCGACGGGGATGCCCGAGTGCAGCAGCAGCACGAGCAGCAGCACGTTGCCGTTGAAGGTGCTGATATGCAGCGTGTTGTAGCCCTGCGCGTCGGTAGCGAGCGGGTCTGCGCCGTGCTGCAGCAGCAGGTGGACGGTATAGTAGTGGCAACGCTGGGCTGCCCACTGCAGCGGCGTGGCCACCGAGTCGCCGCCCTTCTTGTTGATGGGCGCGCCCTTGTCGATGAGGAACTTGCACATGGCGTACTGGTTGTTGATGGCGGCCCAGTGCAGCGGTGTGATGCCCTCGTCGTCGCAGTAGGTAGCGTCGTAGTCGCCCGTCTCGAATAGCTTCTCCATGGCCACCATGTCGCCCACGCGCGCCACCTGCATGATGTCGTTCTCGGCCGGCTTGTCGCTTGCCATCGTGCCCATCTCCATCTCGTTGTTCAGCTTGGGCGCCGCCACCGCCGCCTTGACCGTGGGCTGCGCCGGCGCCGCGCTTCCTGGCCCGTTGTGCGCCATTGTCGCCGTTGTCGCCGTTGACTAGGGCCGCCGTCTGTCCGCCTGATCGCCCGTCGATCCCGGCCCAGCCAACCCAGATCCTCCCACTGGCTTGCCGCCCCTTTCTCCCAGTCCCAGGGCTGGCGTCCGGAACGTCTCGAGTGGCTCGGGATGGTTGTTGGCTTCGTTCGTTGACCGCTGCTGGAGTAAAATCGGCCAAGACGGCAAAAGAGGGACGGACACTAGGCGCTGGACTGAAGCAGCCAGATTGACAATAGATAGTCGGACGGGGAGGGAAAGGACGAAGGAGGGAAAAAAACAAAATCGTCCAGACGAGGGGCTGAGTTCCAGGGTCGAGGCTAAGCCGAGCCAAGCTGGAAGGGGCAATGCAATTTGCGTCCCCTTTGTCCGCCTTGATAGCCAACGAACGCGCAGGTTCGCTGGGGCAAGGCTGACGCGGACAGACTGGGATGCTGGAATGGAGCCTGGCCCCTGGATAAGGCCTGGAGCAGCGGTTTTCATTGGGCCAAAACTGCCAGACTGCCAGAGGGAATAAGTGGGGCTACAGGGTCCAGTTTTGACCGGCAGTGGAGCTGGAGCTGGGAGATGCCAGCACAGAAGTCATAGAAGACAACTTGGAAATCGTCGTCGGATTGCTCGGAGCTGGACTTGGGTCGCCAACAAACGCCCACGAGAACCCGATCTGGTCCCAACGTCGAGGCTCGCCGTCGAGCAGAGCCGCTTTCGCCCTTGCACCCCCAAGGGCGTTTTATGGGCTGCACACCGCAGCGCACGCCTCGAAGCGCAACCATCCTGCTCCCTTGATTTCGCCACCAACCCTGTGCAGCCAAACCAGCCCCGACTGCCACCATGTCCATGCCCGACCCCCTCCGCTCCTTCCTGGAGCAGGTGCTCGCGCCCTCGCCCCTGGTCCTGTGCCTCGGCATCGCCTTCGTCGTCATCTTCCCCTTCATCCTTCACTTCGCCCTCAGCGGCTCGACCCAGTACGTCGCCCTGCCCTCGGTCCTGCTCGCCGGCCCGTCGGGCGCCGGCAAAACGGCGTTGCTGGGCCACCTCGAGCGCCGCGGCGGCCACATCCCGACCCACGTCACGCAGCGCCCCCACAGCGTCGAGCTGTCCGTGGGAGGCGGCGGCGGCGGCGGCAAGAAGAACAACAGCTTCCGCGACGACCTCGACGCGCTCGGCGTCGAGCACTCCAAGTTCCTGCTCCAGGACACGCCCGGCCACGGAAAGCTGCGAGGGGCGGCGCTGCGGCGCGTCGCGGCGGCCACGCAGGACCGCGTCAAGGGCATCGTCTTCATCGTCGACGCCGCCATGATCTCGGAGCCCGAGTGCCTCGCCGACGCGGCCGCGTTCCTGTACGACGTGCTCGTCATGCTGCAGAAGCGCGCCGGCGCGGGCAAGTCGAGCCGCGCCCCCGACGCCGTGCCCGTCCTCATTGCTGCCAACAAGATGGACCTCTTCACGGCCCTGCCGGCGGCGCTCGTCAAGAGCAGCCTCGAGGCCGAGCTGGGCCGCATCCGGAGCACGCGCAGCAGGGGCCTGCTGGACTCGGGCGTGGGCACCGACGACGTCGACGCCGGCGCGGGCAAGGAGGACGGCGACGACTGGCTGGGCCAGTACGGCAGCGAAAAGTTCACGTTTGCGCAGATGCGCGAGTTCGACATTGACGTCGACGTGATGGGCGGCAACGTTGAGGGCGAGGGCCCCGGCGTCGACAAGTGGTGGGACTGGATCGCGGACCAGCTTTGAAGCTTTTTACGCAGATTTCGCCTCTGTCCTGCAGGGGACTTTTACCAAGCAAGCAGTTTGTATACCGCTTATCCGACACTTGTGTGGCTTGAGATGGCGTCCAGGGCGAGGACAGCATCGAGATGTCGAAAGGCACCCCCCACACACTATCGTATGACTGAAAGGGACATCTTTATCTATTCCTGGAGTTTGCTGGCCGCTCTCCCATTTCCAATGGGAAGCTGTAGACGTTGAGTCTCGCCAACAGAGAACCACTGTATCTAACATCTATGAAATAACAAGCCTCGCCTTTCTGCGCCGTCCATGATCCCTCGCTGGAATGAAACACGTGTTGACAATGTGTGCATCCCGCTTATATGCTCCGCGCGAAAGAAAGAGAAGAAGAGAAAAAAAAAAGCAACAGAGTCTAAAGCAGTCATCCCGCAAAGAAATTGCCCCGGATAAACCCAAGTTTCATCACGGAGCTCCACTGCTCCTGGATCGAGAGTTGGAATCCCATGTGCCGGATCTGGATGTCAAGATGCTCCTAGGTCTTGAGTCCCTTCATCATGTACGTCAGCAGGTCGACCTTTGTGACGACGGCGAGCGGCTTGGCCAGGCCGTGGCTCTTGTCGGCACTCGGCTCCGTCACGACGGCGGCGCTGTTCCACTCGAGGAACTTGCTGAGCGCGTCGAGCGGCGTGTCCATGGTGATCTCGACAAACTTGCGGCGGCGCCCCTTGGCGTCGGCCGAGGCGAGGCCGTGCCCGCGCGGGTCCGTCACGACCTCGTCCAGGCGGCCAAAGTCGAACATGACGTCGCTGACGGGGCTGTCGGTGCGCACGCGGCCGCGCGACACGTAGCTGAGCATGTTGCCGAGCGTCACGATACCGACGAGGCGGCTGCCGCCGCCGGGGGACAGCACGGGCAGCTGGTCGAAGCCCTTGTCGCGCATCGTCTCGATGGCGTCGGCGCACGGGCTGTCGGCCAGCACCGACGTCACGGGCTTGAGCCGCAGCGCGCGCACCGTCACCCCGCCGTAGGGGTTGCTGGGCCGGCGGTTGCGGGCGGCGGCGGTGGCCTTGGCGGTCTCAGCGGCAGCGGCGTCGACGCCGCCGCCGCCGCCGCCGCCGCCGTTGCTCTCCGGGGCGGGAGGCAAGAGGTCGTTGGCGGCCAGCCAGTCGTCGTCGGCAAACTTGGACAGGTAGCTGCGGATGCTGTCGGGCAGGATCACCACCACCACGTCGTCCGGGCCGAGGTCCAGGTCCTTGCACGCGCGCACCATGGCGGCCATGGCGGACCCGGACGAGCCGCCGACCAGCAGGCCCTCCTCTGCGATGAGGCGGCGCGCGTACATGAAGGACTCGCGGTCCTCGGTCTTGTACCACTTGTCGACTATCTCGCGGTCGAGCACGTCGGGGATGAAGTCGTAGCCGATGCCCTCGACCTTGTACGGCTTGTTGGCGCCCTCGTCGTTGAGGCCCTCGGGCAGGGCCAGGATGCTGCCGACGGGGTCGGCCGCCACGATCTTGACGGCGGCCGAGTGCTTGCGCATGCCCTTGGCCAGGCCCGAGATGGTGCCGCCCGTGCCGGCGCCGGCGACCACGGCGGTGACGCGGCCGCCCGTCTGGGCCCAGATCTCCTCGGCGGTGCCGAACTCGTGCGCCAGCGGGTTGTTGGGGTTCGTGTACTGGTCGAGGATGTGCGAGTTGGGTATCTCCTTCTGCAGCCGCCGCGCGACGCCAATGTGCGACTCGGGCGCGTCCCAGGCCGCCTGCGTCGGCGTGCGGATGATGGTGGCGCCGAGGGCCTTGAGCACCGACACCTTCTCGGCCGACATCTTCTCCGGGAGCGTGATGATGGTCTTGTAGCCCTTGACGGCGCCGACCAGGGCCAGGCCGATGCCGCTACAGTTCTCAGTCTCATGTTAGCACCAGGCACACAACCCGTCCATAAGGCGATATCCGCCTTGACCCATAGTCCACAGCTCGTCCAGGGGGCGGGGAGACCAACGTGTTTCCGCTCGTGGGCTCAATCAGCGTGTCTCCAGGCTTGATCCTGCCCTCCTTCTCGGCCTCCTCAATCATGCGGAGTGCTATCCGGTCCTTGACACTGCCGCCGGCATTAAAGAGCTCGACCTTGGCAAAGACCTGGGCCTTGATGCCCAGCGACTGTGGGATCTTGTTGAGCCGAACAAGCGGCGTGTTGCCAATCAACTCGGTGGCAGAGCCCGCCACGGCCTGCGCGCCGAGGGCGACCTTGTCGTTGGACGCCATGGTGGGATAAAAAAAAACAAGCCTGGGAGGGTGGCTTGTCAAATCCTCTAGGCAGGGAGCAGATGAAGTCGGGGATGGTGTTCTTATGGACGAAATGGAAGCGTGGATACTATCAGCAACAGTGTAGAAGCGCCCGTCACTCAAGATGAAAACAAAGCCTGTGTGTCCGGGCCGAGGCAGTGATGTCAGAAAGCGGTCTCGGTCGAGGTCAGAGTTGCTTGCTCTGCTTTGACAGGACAGCAAACTGACCGAGTCCTACGGGCCGGATCAGGCGGTAAGTGTATCAAGCGCACACAGGCCAGCGGAGAAACGACACAGCTTCTGGTTGGACGCCTGCCGCCAGACAACGGATGGAAAAAGAAAACGAGAAGAAAAAAAGTCAGACGCGAGCAAGGAGCCAGGTCCGCAAGCAATCAGAATCGCGAATTTGCCCCGCGGACCACGCCACCGACAGCCCTACACGCAATTGAGCGGTGTCAAAGCCGACGGTAGGCGGGACGGATGTGGAGCTGTTTTGAGGCCTTAAGTAAGGGGAAACGCCCAGCCCACTTACAACGTCGCATTAAGCTAACCGCAAACCTACTGTACGGCCAAGGACGAGTTGTCTGCGAGACTTCATCTCTTTGGTATGAATGTATCTTCCGAACTTGACAACGTCAAGTTGGAAGTCTTCTTGCTATGACCTGGGTCACACACACACACATGATAGATTTAACCCTTGATGTGTGGCTGTGGGTCCTTTTCCACCCCTGCTCACCCTCAAGCTGTGAAAACTTCAGCCATCACCATCCTAGCTGGAATGCTTCCATATTCCCCATTCTACCCCCAATAAGGAAAAACCAACGGCTACCTCGGCTGCCGGTATCCCTGACAGGCCTTTAGCTCGAGCCGGAGAGGCCTTTGACAAAGCCGTCGTACGCAGGCTTCTTCTCATAGTTCTCCGACCAGAGCAGCGCCGCGCCTTGGCCCTTGAAGGCCCCAGGAACCCACGAGTAGCGGTCCGTCACGCCCTGCGAGTGGGGCCAAGACAGAACACCAGTCAGCATCGATACGAGTCCACGGAGCGAGGGCCTGAAAAGCCAACAAAAGAAAAAAATACACTCACCCAGAGAGTGATTCCGACGCAGCGCTTGACGGCGATGCAGCTGGCCACGACGCGCTGGTAGGCGGCGGCCTGGACCTGCAGCTTATCGGCGGTGCTGGGCAGGGTCAGACGGATGTCGAGCTCCGTGTAGGCCACGTCGACGCCCAGGTCCGTGTACAGGCGCAGCGTCCTCTCGAGCGCCGCCTGCGACGGCGTCGACGTCGTCACCAGGTGCGCCTGCAGGCCGACGCCGTCGATCTTTGCGCCCCAGGCCTGCACGTCCCGGAGGATCTGCTGCGCGCCCTTGGCCTTGGCGCCGCCGTACTCGAGGTTGAAGTCGTTGTAGTACAGCTTGGCCTCGGGGTCCGCCTTGGCCGCGATCTGGAACGCGAGCGGGATGTACTCCTTGCCGATGACGCGGAGGAAGACGTTGTCGCGGAGCGTGCCGTTCTCGTTGAGCGCTGGGCGGATGGGGGCAGGTTAGGGGAAGGACTCGTGCGCGCGCGGGGGCTGATGGTCCACCTTCTCCCATAGGTATGGGGGGGGACTCACCTTCGTTCACGACATCCCAGTGGGTGCACTGGCCCTTGTAGCGGCCCATGACGGTGGTGATGTGGTTGGTCATGACCTCCATCAGCGTCGCGTTGTTGGTGATGTCGTCGACCCACTTGGGCAGCTGGCTGTACCACACAAGCGTGTGGCAGCGCATCTGCTTGCCGTTCTGCCGCGCGTAGTTGGCCACCTGGTCGGCGCCTCCAAAGGTGAAGCGGCCCTGCTGGGGCTCCGTGGCGTCCCACTTCATGGCGTTCTCGGGCGTGATGGACCCGAACTCGTCGCGGATTATGGCGTTCTCCTGGGCGTCGCTGCGGACCGTCAGGGAGGTGCCGACGTACCCGCGGCCCGCGGCCACCATGGTCGCGTTCAGGCCCTGCGCCGTCTGCCGCAGCTTTCTGCGTGCCGGTGTCGACAAAGGTCAGTCGGGGCGCCACTAGCAGGCCTGGTTAAGGATCAAGAATAGCGAGGGCACTATACAGGAGAGCGTCCGCATCATTGATGACCGTGGGCGCGGCCGAGGCCAGCGCGGCGAGGGCGAGGGCGGGGAGGAGATGCATCGTGGCGAGTATACAGAGTTGTTGACTCGAGTACGCTAGTCTCTCAGACTGTGAAGCGAGCAAGTGTCGGGAGCTATGTACAGGAGCTCTGTGAAGCCAACAATAACCCTTTTGACATCAGCTCGAGCCGCTCCCTTATATACCCTTCGAAGCCCCCAGCCAAAGGCCTCCCGTGGAGTCGACATATAGCTGGGCTTGGAGAGCATCCTTGCCCAAGAGTGGCCGCCGCTCCACGTCACCCCCGCGCGCATCACCGGTTGTCGCATCGTATTTCTTCCTTCTTGTTCACACAACCATGTCCGCGTCGTGGTTCGACAAGGCGTGCGGAGCGGCTGGCGGGACCCAGAGTCGGCCGGTGCCCTCCAATATTGCGGATCATTGGAGGATTTCGCCATGTGTCTCGAAGCGGCAGGGAGCGCCAGGATCGCGATTGGGCGCCCTTGGCGCCCCGCTCGGTTTTTCATGACTTCGACCGTGGAACAGTGATTCTCGGTACTGAGGCTGGGCGGGCAATCCAACAACGAGAGTCAGGTATTGAAACTCTCTCGGCCGGTGGATTTTGCACCATTCACGCGGGCTGGTGATGAAGTGGGTGGTCATGTGACGGGTGCCAAGGGGCATCCCCTTTCGCCTGTGCTATCCCACTGCCAGCTCCTCCAATTGTGTTAGCTTTACAAGGTGATATTCTATCGCGAACTCGGGGACAGAAACCCTCCTATTGGCCAGAGCAGTGCCGAGCTGATCAGATGTCAGCATGCACAGCGTACTGCGCCTCGTGTGCGCCTCGCCGATGATCCTGGTGCTTGAAGCCCCGAAGGATTGCTGATGACCTCATTGCCGACCTTCCATCATCTTCTTAAATATGTCTCCAGCTCCAGCTCGTCTGCGATGGCCGCGGCGTAATGGCAAGACCAGCCATTCGTCTTTGCCAGCAGCACTTTTGCCTACCCCCTGATCAGTTTAGGCTGCATTTCTGGTCTCTATTTTTGCGCTTCAGGTCTTCTAGCAGTACAACATGGGTGGCTTCCATCGCCTGGCTGCAAAGATTGGGTTGGGGAAGAGTAACGAGTCCACCGACGACCAATGCGTGGCGCAAGGCTCCAGCTCGGCAGAACTACGTCATGGCCAAGACATCAAACACACCACGATCACGAAGAAAGAGGGCAAGGACACAGATGCCCAAGGCCCCCTTACACCACCGCCCGACTACGAGCCGGGCCCCCAACAGCCACAGCAACAACAACCGCCACAGCAGTTTAATGCCCCCCAACCACAGCATCGGGGACAGCCGTGGCAGCAGCTACCGCAACAGCAGCCTCAAAATGAGGTCCTCCGCCAGTTCCCGGACAAGTTCAACCTGTACTCGACCAACTACGGCTTCTCGCGCACCTTTGTGATAGGCAACCAGGAGCACCCGCAGATATACGCCGTCTGCCTTCACTCGGGCTTCAGCAGCTCGCCGCCCGTCGTGCTGCACAACGGGCCCGACCCGGACCGGTCCGACGTGCTCGCCGCCGTCGAGTTCGCCAGCTTCGGCGGCGACTACACCCTGACCCTGCCGCCCATGCCGGGCCGGCCGGGGGTGGCGTCCGAGGTCGAGGTCGAGGCCGACTTTGGCTTCACCAGCCGCTGCTACCGCTTCGGCGTCGAGGTCGGCCGGCTGGGCGTCACCGAGGCCCGCGTGGAGCAGTTTGAGTGGCGCCACTCGCACGGCGCCGCTGTCGACTCGCTGGCCGGCTCCTGGTCAGGCTGGAAGCTGGTGCGCATGTCGAGGGCGCCACCGCCTGGCGCCTCGGGCGGCTCGCCGCCGGGGAAGTTCATGACTAGCGACGGGTTCGAAGTCGTGGCGGTGTGGGCGAGCGCCGTCATCAGCATGAGTCAGGCGGCCCATTTCGACTTTGTTGGCACAGGGACCACGGGTTTGTTAGGCGAGCGCTGGGCCGTTGCGGCTGTCATGTCGGCGCTGGGGATCTGGGAGAGGGAGAGGAGGCAGAGGCAGCGCAGCCGAAATCATCATCATTAATGTTAACGGCACGATTGCTTCCCGTTCCCCCTTTCCTTGTCCTCGTACATGTAGAACATGTACTAGCGTTTGGATTTCGGTTTTCCGTATCGCCCATCCAATAAAACTGGGAAATATAGTAAAAGAAGGAAAATGTAGGGAAAAAAAGAAAAAACACAGGGAAAAAAAACACAGTAAAAAGAAAAGAAAAACAATGGAAAAAGGAAAAGAACAGAGGAAAGAGATAAGAGGAAGAAAATATAAGAAGAAAACAACTTGCCATCGCCATATAACAATACGCCACAAAGATACCTAGTTATGCCCGGGCTAAAAATAACTCCGCAACCCTGGCCTAAACTAATCTTGGGTAGGTAGGTAAGGACCCTCTAGCGGGTATAAAATATGCCCAATGTTGGAACAGTACTTCTGTGCGCGTGCGATCCGGAAAAGGAAGGTTGTCACAGGAGGCTCCGGGATCCCCTGGATCCCGCACGGGCCAACACTATCTGCCTTAGGCAGAGCAGGGAACCACCCTTTGGGTGATCGTCCCTGTGCATATAACGGGCAGTCCTGTGCCCTTCTTCTGGCAGATAGGTTCCTTCTTCCTGATGCACAATATAGGACCTTTCCCCAGATCACCAAGATCTTTGTTCATCACCTTTGGAGATCTCCGAGCCGTCTAACAGGAGTACCAGACTCCTACCAACACCCAAAGTATCCGCGTGTCTGTCCCCAACTCTGGATCCCCTTGATGGGCCAAGCCCAGCTGTTGGACGCCTGACAATCAGGAGGCTTGGCGCGTATTTCCAGCGTCCGGACAGCATGCTGCCGCATCTCAAACAGCCAACAGCCCGCAGCACCTACTCAGATTGGCTGCTATAAGGCCATGCATTCGCGATGGCTGTAGCCAAGTCTGTTGGGCGGCGTGTTTGCCTATATCCGAAAACCCCGCGTCCTGGAGGTATGAATGGTGTCTTTTCCTTGACCCGATACTTGTAACGTCACCGAGGACGCCGAGTTGGAAAATATATCATGGTGCAGGCCGTCGGGCTGCGACAGCTACACCGGCCAGAGTTGAGGTTCAGGAAGGCGGGTTGGGGAGAGCACAGTAGGCGAGTTCTATAGGTATAGTGTCACGAATAACAAAGGATATTGGCTGCGATAAAAAAAAAAAAACTCTCTACCATTGGGAACAGCCGAAATCCATTGCATGGCACATGCATGACTGACAGATGCGCCTATCTTCGGGCGACCTCGGACGGAATCCGAAGCGGTCTGACCAGTGCCCCATTGTGTTCCCCTCACTTCATCGGGGCGCCCAGCAGGTGCAGCTCCCCATCCGTGCCGATTCAACGTTGCACCAAAAAGCGACTTGGAGCGCCACAGCGCCTGTCGCCGCCAAGTGGAGACGGCCTGCAGGCCCCGACCGCCGATCTTGGAGTGAGGGGGGGTTCTGGGCAACCACCCAATGGGCCCGTCTCGTCAGAGCCATGGTATGAAGCGAACCGATGCAGGAAGATGAAGCCGAAGAAGATGCGGTTGCCTGCGACCACGACAGGCGCACAGCGAAATTGATCCATCATGGTGCCCCTACCGCTCTGGACCGCGCTGCTCGGCGCCGGGTCGCTTGCGGCCTCGGCCCTGCAGCTGCTGCCCCCACTGCCCCAGCCGACGGGGCTGACGAGGGGCTCCCCCTGGCGCGCCGGGGAGACGGAGCGGAAGATCTACATCGAGGATGCCTTCGCGTCCCGGTCCGACGCCGACGGCCTGACGCTAATACCGCCGACGGCCTACGAGTTCGCCGAGGTGTTCCGGCAGGACATCAGCGAGCTCACGGGCGCCAACTGGACCCTGGAGCGGGTCGGTCGCCTGCCGGAGCTGGCCGACGCCAGCGGCGTCCTGCTCGGCGCCTTTACGGGCGGCGACACGCCCGACCGAGAGCCGCCGACCTACGAGGATGGAGAAAAGACGTCCGAGGGCTACGAGTTTCGTGTATCGGTCACGTCGGTATTCATCGGCGGCACCGGCGCCAGGGGCATGTGGTGGGGGACGCGGACGCTCCTGCAGCTCGTGCTGGCGGCGACGGCGGCGGCGGGCAACGACAGCGACGCCGGGGCTGCGCAGCTGTCGGCGGGCTACCAGACGGTCGACGCGCCGGCGTACGCGACGCGCGGCTTCATGCTCGACGCCGGGCGCAAGTGGTACGCGCCGTCGTTCCTCAAGGAGCTGTGCAGCTACGCCAGCTTCTTCAAGCTGAGCGAGTTCCACTACCACCTGAGCGACAACTACCCGCTCAACCGCGGCCGCAACGCGTCCTGGGCTGACGTATACTCGCACTTCTCGCTGCTGCCGGAGCGCGACGCCGAGCTGCGCGGCATGCTGCACGGGCGCGAGAACGAGACGCTGTCGCGGGCCGACTTTGAGGACGTGCAGCTCCACTGCGCGCGCAGGGGGGTGACGGTGGTGCCCGAGATCGAGGCGCCGGGCCACTGCCTGTACCTCACAAAGTGGCGGCCCGAGCTGTCGCTGCCGCACAAGCGCGACCTGCTGAACCTGACGCACCCGGACACGGTGCCGGCCGTCAAGCGCGTCTGGGCCGAGTTCCTGCCGTGGTTTAAAACGAAACAAGTGCACGTGGGCGCCGACGAGTACGACGCGGCGCTGGCCGACGACTACATCCGGTTCGTCAACGAGATGACGCGCTGGGTGCGCGCGCAGACGGGCAACGGGACGCGGATCCGGATCTGGGGCACGCACGAGCCGTCCGAGAACCTCACAATCTCCAAGGACGTGGTGGTGCAGCACTGGCAGTACGGGCAGTCGGACCCCATGGAGCTGCTAGAGAGCGGGCACGACGTGGTCAACTCGCAAGATTGGTGGGCCTACACCTCCATCAAGAACGACCACATGCCCATCCTTCCGGCGAGGTACCCGCAGTTCTTCAACGAGGCGCGCGTGCTCGACTTTGCCGACCGCGAGGGCTGGCAGTGGACCCCGGCCGACTTTAACCCCTTCAACCAAACCATGCAGGCGGCCCCGGGCGCCAAGGGGCTGCGCGGGTCGGTTCTGGCGGCGTGGAACGACAACGGGCCCGACGCGAGCACGCAGCTCGAGGCCTACTACTCGATGCGCCGGGGGATCCCGCTCGCCGGCGCCCGGGCGTGGTCCGGGGTTCGGGGCCCACGGCTCGACGCCGGGCTCGTCGCGCCGAGCATTGACTTCTTCTCACCCGTCGCTCCAGGGCAGAACCTCGACCGCGTCGTCCGCAAACGTCGGCCTGGGGCTCCGGGCGATGCGCCGCTCGTCTCGTGGTCGCGGGCCGCAGCGGACAGCGGCGCGGTTCGGCTCGGCCTAGGCAGCAAGGGCATGAACTACACGCTGACACTCGAGGCGTTGGGCCCGTTCCGGCTTTCTGGGCCGGATTGCAGCCTCAGCCTGGTCGCGCCCGGCGGGAGCGGCTCGTCCTCGCCACCCGACCTCTCTCTCGTCTTCGAGGCCGACGGCTGGCGGTACCCGCTGCGATCCGTCGGGCGCTCCGACGCGCTCGAGCTGAACCCCGGCCACCCAGGGAGGATCTGGGTCAACGCGTCCGGGTCCACGCACAAGGAGATGGGCGGCAGCGGCGAGGGCGGGACGGGCGGCATCCGGGTGCCGGCCAACATCACGGTTGCGACGGACGCGCTGCACGGTAGCGTGGTCTGGGTGAACGGGGTGTTGGTGGGCCGGTTCGAGGTGTTTGTGTACGGCGGGCGGAACACGCAGTTTAGCTGGAGCCAGATGGCGTTTGTGGCACCACTGGACGAGATCGAGGGAGGGGTCCACGGGCTAGCGAGCTTGAGGCTGGAGGAAGGATTCCGTATTCCAGGCCAAGGTGGGGCACCAACTGGCACCAACCCACCGCCAGGTTCGTCGGCTGCAAGTAGGACGCTGGGTGGGTTCTGCTGGGCCGTCGTTGCGGCGGTGCTAAGCACGTTGACATTTTTTATGTTATGAGAACTCTTCTATCCCGGCAAATATGGAACGAAAGTTGGGCTAGGACAAGCCGAGTCTCTGTGCTAGCCGGGTCGAGCAACAACCTGTTTGTGATGCTCAGGGCCGTTGGGCGGTTGGGTTGGACGACGTCATCGAAACGTCAGCGTGGTGTCCCGACTGGCCCCGATTCCTTACTCATCCTCCACCACGGGAATGGCCGGAATGGCCGGAAAACAGAGAGGAAACGTCGATAGATGATTGAGTTTGCGCAATTTGACATTAGGGACTCGCTCTTTAGTCTGTATACTCTACGTGATTCACATCGTTGCTAGGCACCCAAGACGGCGTGTGGTGGCTTGAGACAACCGAAATAGGAGCCATCTCGAACAGCACGGCAAAATGGCGTCGCCAAAACAAGCCGAGCTGCCCACCTTCTCGGCGCTCGACTACTCAAAGTTCTTTGGAGCCGGCGCGCTGGCCGCAATGTCCACACATGGGGTGTGTTCCAACCGACCAGCCCACACAGGTCCCCAGGGAAGATGCTGACCAGCCCCGTCCACGACTACAAACAGGCAGCCACCCCCATCGACGTGGTCAAGACGCGCATCCAGGTGGACGACGCCATGAAGGGCCTCAACATGATCAAGGCCGGGCGGTCCATCGTGGCCAAGGAGGGCGCCAGCGCGCTGCTGACGGGCTTCGGCCCGACGGCGGTCGGCTACCTGGTGCAGGGCGGCGCCAAGTTTGCCGGCTACGAGTTCTTCAAGCGAACATTTGTCGGCATGGCGGGCGGGCCGGGCGAGCGGGCCACACGGAACCGCACGGCCATCTACCTGGGGGCCAGCGCGTCGGCCGAGTTCTTCGCCGACATCCTGCTGTGCCCGCTCGAGGCGACGCGGATCCGGCTCGTGTCGCAGCGCGGGTACGCCGGCGGGCTCGCGTCCGGGTTCGCGCGCATGGCGCGCGAGGAGGGCCTGCGCGGCTTCTACTCGGGCTTCGTGCCGCTGCTGTTCAAGCAGGTGCCGTACGCGGTCGGGCAGTTCGCCGTGCACGAGGCGGCCGTCGAGGCCATCTACCGCGGGTTGGGCCCGGAGCGGACGGCGGCGCTGACGCAGCTGCAGTCGACGGGGGTGGAGCTGGCGTCGGGCCTCGCGGCCGGGGTGGCGGCGGCGGTGCTGTCGCACCCGGCCGACACGCTGCTGTCGGCCATCAACAAGGGCGCTGGCGACAGGCGGCAGGGCACGACGGCGCGTATGCTGCAGCTGGCGCGCGAGTTCGGGCCCAGGCGACTGCTGACGACGGGCCTGGGGCCCAGGGTGGTCATGACGTGCGGCCTGGTTGCGGGTCAGTTCGTCATCTACGCCCAGTGCAAGGCGCTGGTGGGCGCGCCGCCAGGGGTGGAGATCCACAAGGTTGAGGAGGAGCAGTTGAACTGATCAGGGGTCGGTCAGGTCAGGGTGTCAAGTCAGGGTATCAAGTCAGGGTGTCAAGTCAGTCATCACTTGCTCAGTTGGTCGGCAGTTGCTCGTTGGTCAGCCCAGCATCTTGCCCTGCCCCGTTGGTCGTCATCTTGGGTGGCGTTGGTTTGTTTTTGCGCTATTGATTGATTGACATTGCTTTTTGCTTCACCGACTTTTTTTCTTTTCTTTTTTTCTTCCTCCTTCTTTTCTTCTTTTTCCTCTGTACGTATTATTTTTATGGCGCTTTCACTATTATTAATTTCGGGTTGTCCTTTTGTCCATCCTGGTCGGGTCGGTTGGATGCCGGGCATGGAGAAACCATGGGGCTGCACCTGACCGCCTCGTGCCTTGTTTAATTAGACGGCAGACGCTAGGGGCTTTTGGGGCTAGGGTCGAGCAAACAGGCAGGTCGACAATGGCACAACGGGTCACGTTTGGTCGCAGCGAACAATGGGATGGGGCCGGCGGTAAAATCCGGAGCCCTCTCGTCTGGAGTGTGAAGCGGGTCAGGGGCACCAGAGGCTGTGTCGGCTCGGCATGGGTCGGGTTCGCAGACAATCGAAGTCAATTCTCGGCCGCGACAGGCATAGGGCGATTTGGCTTGTTTCTGCCAGCCCTCAGGCGATTTCCGGAGCGGCTGGCCGTTCCGCACTCGGTTAGGCATGCCCTATCGCAATTGAAGGATGCAACTGGGCGCAACAGGGCGTGCAGGCCCCGACTGGGGTCGGTCGTCTACTGTGGCCTGCAAGCCTGGAACGTTGCGACTCTGCGAGGGTCGACGAGGGGGGTGCCGAGGGTGCGCCTCCTGTGCGTGCGAAGGCAATGCCAGTTGGAAGTGGAGCCCGTCTCCCACTATTATTAGCCGCCCCCTCAGCACTCGACAGCCTGTCACACCCGTCGAGACCTGCTCCGCCTGCTTGCAGGAATAAATCTCATTTTTCCCGATGCTCCCGCCCACCTCCAGTATTGTTAGGTGGGGCCTGGCAGTGGCCAAGCCGCATCGTGATTGGCTGGGCCCGCAGCTAGGAGGGGGGAAATCCCTGTAGATGTGACAGCTGGTTGCCAGCTTTTTCGTAAGCGCCCTACCAACAGTCAATCTCCGGCTCTGCCCCCTTGGCCTGGTCGCCATCCCAATAGCCTTCGATTGCTCCCCAACCTGTTGTCCTGGGACTCCCCCCTGCCAGCCTCCACCACCCCATGCACCATACCACTCGGGCCAGGAGAAGTGGGGTGTGTTGGGCCACTTGGCTGGCGAACCCAACCGCTGGCCAAAACAAACTGCACGCCGGGCGGAAAAGACAGGGTGGGTGCGTGGAAAAAAAAAAATGAAGGGGGAGAGAAGAAGAAAAAAAAAAGCACAGGGCGCGTGGGTGGGAGAGACAGCCAACGCAGCCCAGGCAGACACAGTCTTGGTCAACACGCCAACCCTGACAAAAAAAAAATCCTTTCCTCGTCCCGGTCGTTTGGTCCATCAAACACAACCAACACACAGTCGCTTCCCTAAGGACAAATAACCTCCAACCGCGACAGGGACCGGCGTTGGTAGTGTTTTGCTTTAGTCCTGCCTAGTCGCAATGGTCAGGCCCCTTTCTGACCTGGACAATACATTACGCCAGTCCCGACTCCACCTTTCGTCCGAATGTTTGGCACAATCAGACGCGAGGCGACCGACCCGAGTGCGCACCGGAATGCCTGGTCTGGCGCACAACAGCAGCACCAGCAGCAGCAACATCAGCAGCATCAGCAGCAGCACCAACAGCACCAACAGTCTCCGTCGCAGCAACATCAGCAGCAGGACACGCAGCAGCAACAGCAACAGCAACAGCATCTTCAACAGCAACAGCATCTTCAACACCCGCTGCCGCACCACACCCAACAGCACCATCCTCACCAGCACCAGCACCAGCACCAGCACCAGCATTCACACCACCACATCCCTCACACCCAACAGCCCGACCAGCCAGCTCAGCTTGGCCGCGGCGGCACCAGCAACATGACAGTCGTCAGCAGTGGCGGCGGTGGGAGCGCTGCCGCGACCGTCAGGGCCGCCCGCTCGAGCCCAATGGTCCAGATGGCCATCGCGGCGTTGGTGTCGTTCAACTCGGACCATCGCCCCAGTCCCGAGATGCTGTCGTTCCACGAGGACATCCTCGACGCGGCCGCCAGGGCCTGGGACGCTGGCTACCACTGGAGCATTTCTGTCTTTGCCATTGCCCTGCGCGCCATCATTCGCGACGTCGCAGCCGAGCGCCGCCACAAATTCGGCTCAACCCTGTGAGTATAGATTTTTATTTATTTTTTATTTGTCTGTTTGTCGCGCCCCAATTGCAATTCCATCTATTCTCCGACTGCAGCCCCCCTCGATCGATGCGTCGCAATCCCCATCCATGCCTGCATTTGCGCATCGCGACGGCCACGCGGACGGATCCAGGTGGCTGGGTCGCCCAAGCCCCAGCAGACTGCCAACCAACAACCCCTCCCTGCCATCTGCCCCTTCCACTACTGCCAGATGCCGATATGCTGACTTGCGGGACTACCTGGCCCCAGCGACCTGGCCTACGTTGAGAAGGTCACGTGCGCCATCCAGACCCGCTTCTTGGCTGTCGACCCGGCCCTCGGCGTCCCTAGCCCGGCCACCACAAGCACGCCGCCACCAACCTCGTCGGCCGTGCCCAGTGCCGCCGCTGCCCTTGCTGCTGCCGCTGCTGCCACTGCCGCCGCCGCCGCCACTCACGTCAGCCCCCAGCCGGCCCCCCACCTGTCCTATCACCATGATGTCCAGGCCACTGCTGCCGCTGCCCTGGCCGCCAACCCGCTGTCGGCCCCGTCCATCAACGTCAAGGCCAGCCCGAGCCCGAGCCCGGCCCTGTCGTCGTCGGTGCTTGTCCCTCCCGCCGTGCGTGTCATCCAGCCGCCGCCGTCTCCCCACCATGGACACACACCACCACTACCGGGCCCAGGCCAGCCGCATCCTAACAAGCTACCGGCAATCCAACCCCTACCCCCCATCCAGGCCCGCCCGCACCTCCCGCAGCAACTACCATCGCAGCAGCAACAGCAGCAGCAACAGCAGCAGCAACAGCAGCAAGCCATCCTACCACTACCTCGGCCTCATCGCCAGCCCTTGCCCCAGGGCCCTCCGTCACAGCAGCCCGCGGACCACGGCCAGGACCAGAGGGACCCCCCGGGCTCACCACCGGCAAAGCGCCGCCGGCCCCTCCCCACAGTCGGTGTTCACAGCTGGGCCGTGGCCAACGGCAACAGCAATAGCAATAGCAACAGCAACGCCGGCACCAGCAAAAGCACCTCGGCCTCACCTCCCAGGGCAACGACCTCGTCCGGAAACCTTGCCCCTCCTGAGGAGGAGACCATCAGTGCCAAGCGCCGCCGCCGCCGCTCCGACCGTGGCGGCGACCCTGGTGCATATCGGAACGTTGGCGGATACGGCGACGTCACCGCCAGCGGTTACGGCTATGGCTACACGGGCACTGTCAAGTGCACCATGCCGCCCTGCGAGTGGACTGCCGTCACCACCAGCATGCGCATGGGTCTTCGCCTGAACGACCACCTGCTGCGGAAGCATGGCGTCGAGAATAGCGCCATCCGCCTCCGCCCCAGCTATATCCGCCGCATGCCCCGCAGCCACGCGGCCGTGAGAGTTGTAAAGGAAAGAGGACCTTATCGGTCCGCCCGCGAGGCCCTCATCCGCATCGCCGACAGCCTTTCTGCTTCAGTCAAGGACTGGCGCTGTCCCCCCTCCATAGGCAAGCTGCGTGAAGAGCGCGCGCGCGAGGTCTTCCCTCACACCGACGATGTCAAGTCAATGTCGGGCAAAGACCTGCGCGAGGAGCTGGTCCGCATGCGCACCGGAGACGGCATGCAGATCGCCGCCGCCGCCATGGCCGCCGAGAACACCCGCCTCGGCGTCGCCAGCCACAAAGACTCTCCCCTCGAGGTCTGGACCCGCGAACAATTTGTACCCTGGCAGGCCTCGGTCAAGGAGGTGGACCCGGCCGCCCTGGCGGCCTCGGAGAGCGCGCAGCTCGGGACCAAGTCCCCCGAGACCATGAACCGCTGGCTCGAGAATCACTTTAGGCCCTGGGAGTCCAAGGACGGCGGTGGCGAGGACGACGACGGCTCCACCATCATCGCTGCCGGCGCTCCTCCCCGCGACGACGACGAGGACGACGACAGCAAAGGCGAAGATGATGGGCCAAGTGACGAAGATCTCAGTGATGATGATGACGAGAATGACGCGTAAAGTCGAATCTCCTTGCATATATATGTTCGCCTATGTGGTTTAGGTTCCCGATCATCTGCTTCTAACCTGTAACGTTTCGGTTTTTGCTTTAGTGCCTGATATTGGCGTTTCTAGGGGACAATGTTTTTTTTCTTCTATATTTCTCATCATTTCCTATCTCCTTGGGCATACCAGCCTTGCTTGATTTCCTCCCTTGTTGCTACCATTACAGCCTGCTCAGCGCCCTTTATCACAACGGCCTCTGTAAGCGTCTTTTTGCGTAGTATATACATATGGTTGAGCCTGGTGCACTTATTGCGGGACTTACTGGCTCGCCCTCAATGTCTTGTATTCTGTGTTTGTTTGCCATGGGCTCTTGTGTTGATCATTTTCTCCATAAACTGCCACCTGCCTCGCGCTCCATTACAGCGCTTCACAGTCGACGGTGGGGAAATCGATTTTTGGCCTCGACCACCAGAAGAAGAAGAAAACCCAGACATAGCCGACGAGATAGGTCCATCGTGCGGGACGGACTAATCGCCGCAGAGCCAGACAGACCAGATCTTCAACAATAATCGCTCCCCCAACTGTGAGGCAGCGTCGGCCTCGTCAACACACTGGCCAGTCCAGGAAAAGGGACAAGACGGGGTGAAGAAGGAAACAAGAATACAACTGACCCAGCAACCACCAGCGAATGACGGGCCACGTATCGCACCTAGGCCCTTGGGCCTTGAGGCATAAAGCATGCATCAGAGCCAAGAGAGCAAAGACCAGGATGCCGATGACGGCGCGCTGCATGGCTCGATTCCGGATACGCAAGACGTGGACCGCCAGCAACCTCGCGTGCGTGACGAAGGCAGTGCGGTGGAACTGCTGCCAAAACACACTGTTGATAAGATGCCAGACGGCCTCGTCAGCACCCCTAGGGTCCAAGAAGAGAGCCGTGGGGGGGAGGGAGGCTCGCTCTGCAGTCGGATGATGGGGATTTCTCTGCCTCACCCCCAGTACCGCCGCAGCGTATAGGCCTCGCGCACGTCGCCAAACAGCGGCCGCCACCGTGCGTGGTCGTGGCCCAGGACCCCGACGGCGCCCAGGGCGCAGAGCGAGTAGATGGCCTGCCAGTCGGCGTAGGTCGGGAAGTTGAACTGCACGGCCAGCCAGGCACGCACGCCGGCCTCGCGCCACGCCACGGCCGGCGACGACGACGACGACGATGACGACGACAGCAGCGCCCGCCGCAGGATGCCCTCGCGCGCCGGGCCGTAGTTGTCCTCGACCGTCTGGTACCAGTAGGCCCCGTCGACCACGTCGAAGGCCCGCCTCGCCAACACGGCCAGCAGCAAGATCGCCGCGTGCTCGGCCAGGAAGGCGCGGCGCGACGGCACGTAGGCGGCGTCGGAGCCGTCAAAGGGCGGCAGGCTGGCGTCGGACATCTCGCCGCGGGGCGCGAACAGCACCTCGCGCGCGGCCCAGCACGCCTTCTTCTTCCACGTGCTGCTGCTGCCGCTGCCTCCTGCTGCGGCCACGTCGGGCGGCGGTGGGGCGCGGTCGGTGACGCAGAGGTGGCGGTTCGCGTACAGCACGGCCTCGAAGCCGATGCAGACGCAGTAGCTCAAGAAGCCGAGCTCGGGCAGCGACGGGTCCACGAGCCTGTAGGCCGCGGCCACCATCAGGACGCCCCAGTGCGCGTAGATGGTGGCCAGGAGGAAGAAGGGGTGCCGCGCGAGCGAGGCCATCGGGAGGGCCGCCATGGCTTGCGATGCGCGTGGGGGATGAGTGTGAGTGAGTGAGTGCCCTGGACAGGCCCAGGTCACGCCCTTTCTTTTTTTTTCTTCTCTGAAGCGCCAATACTTCTATCGCCCCAATAACAAAGTTTTCAGTCCTCCTTCTCTACCATTCGTGAACTTCTGACGGCCAAGCATTCCTCCCAACGCCGAGCCTTTCCTCCTCACACCACCCTGCAGGGCCGCTCGTCCCGCAGAAACGCCAGAAGACATGCTCCGAACAAGGCAGGCCGAGCGGTTTCGTCCCACCGACCAAGATGCTGGCGCGATCCTTCGGCCCGCCCTCGTGCCTTGCTGTGTAACCGTGCAACGCAAAATCGGGGTGCAACGCCAAGATGCAATACCACTTCCCCTCACCGGGCCTAGCCGTCAGCCATCCAAGGTCAGAACTCATGCAATAGAACCCCGGCAGGAGGCGCCAATGATAGGTCTGGGGTACGTTCCCGTCGGTAACTGTGCCGCCAGGCATGTCGCCTCTGGCCCAATGGGAGTTTCCTGGGCCGGGGCCCGAGATCCGGCCCATCTCTTCTCGCGTGGCCCTCGGCCGGAGGTTGACGTAAGCCTGCCAGGGCAGATATGGCCCCCTCTGTTCTTGGCCGTCTTGGGAGGCGCAGGATACGGGAAGCCCTCTTTAGAGAAAAGAAAAGGCTATCAAGCGACAGCCGAAGGATGAGGACACGGCATGCCCAGGCGCACAGGATCGATATCGTGTCTCGGCCTTCCTCTTTTGTTGATTTCGCCGTCTCGGGCTGATAAGGGCCGAGGCTGTCGATGCCATTGTCTCGGCCTGGCTGCCTACCTCGAGCCTCGTACGCGCGGCCGGTCGTGTGGGCCGCGATACGGCATCTCCTGCGATTTGTCTGAAGGAGTGTCCATGCGGGGAGCAGGCAGCTTGCAACGATCCACCTCGTAGTCTTCCGACCTGAGCATAAATGGGATAACACATCCACCCTCTCTCCCTCTCTGTCCCTCTCCGATACCACGGCACACCACCAGCTACCTCCTCTCATCCCAGCACCCAACAGGCTCCCCCCGCCCCCGAGAAAAATCGACTGTCTCGCAAAAATGCAGCTCACCTTGGTCGTCACCGTCTCCGCCCTTGCCCTCGGCGTCGCCGCCAGCGGCACCCCCTGCCCCTGCAGCGAGCCGCGCTGCGGCAACCTCCCCAGGTGCCGCGGCTGGAAGCGCTGGATCCGCGGGGCCGATGCCCTGGACGCCAGCGGGGTGAGTTTTGTTTCTCGCTGGTTCTTTCCCAAGGCTGTGACGCTAACTTGTCCCTGCTTTCTTCCCCTAGGCCGTCATCGAGCGCGAGCCCGTCCTCGTCGTCGCCGAGAGCTCCTAAGCGGGAAGGCGGGTTGTTTTAAACCACCGTGGCTAGTATAGCAGGGTGTGGTAACGCTCCACAGGGATGGCTATTGTCAAGAGAAGCAGGGGACTTTTGGCTACCAACTTGCCATGCTTCACATCAGCCCATGGTGAAGAAGTACATGGAGCCAATACAGCACATAGCTTGAAACAACACTACTTAGCCCACGTATACATGTCTGTCCCGCAGTGTCCCGTTTTGTAGCGTCGGATGCTGCGGTGTCGTAGCCAACGCTGAAAGCCCAACCCCTGACGTTCACCTGGCATAACGACCAGATAATACATGCACCCGGAGACGAAGAGAAAGCGATGTTCATCACCTCCAATCCATTTTTAACGCGGATACGAGCTACCCAACCTGTCGATCCCCCATGCCCGCAGCCCCTTTACCCCCTCTCCATCCGCGTTCCAAATCCGGTCGAGGCGATATTGTTCCAGTTCAGCTCGTCACGCCCTGCCCATTTAGCCGTACCGCCACCTGCACCATCCCGGCAGGAGTCGTTTCTTGGGTGTGGCTACTAGGGAAGGAAAGAATATTTCCAGGTTTTTGTCTAAACATGCAAAACGGCGGGCCTGGTTCCTGCGTTATCTTGAGTGCTGTGCGCCCGGAAAAATGCAAAGGTCGCGCGTCGGGTCGCGGTGACGGGAGAGTCGGCACCGGCGACGCCACAATATCAGGCCAAATTTGATCCGCCAGGGGTTTTGTCCGTTGCACAGACTGCCCCTCCGTCTGTCCTGTCTCACTCCGGCGCTCTAGAGTGCCAGAAACGGTAAGATGGGATCTGCACCTGAGCTTCGTCGCACCGCCTGTTGTGTCAGCACGCGTATTTAAACGAGGCGTGGTCCTGTCTGTCCAACATCGTTCATCATCTCGCCAGCCAGCCTCGAGACACGGACCCAAGAGCAAGATTCGAACCCAACCCCCATCAACGCCACAATGCGCTCGTCCATCTTCCGCACCGTCGCCGCCGCGGCCCTATGCCTGGTGTTCCAGGTCGCGGCCGGCGCTCTCTCGCTAGAGGACCCCGACATGGGCAGGGGGTGCGGCTTCAAGATCGCGCCCTGTGAGGCGGGGAGCACCTGCTCGGCCCTGGACCCGGCCTGCCCGGCGACGCGGCACGAGAACTGCCAGGGCGTGTGCCGCCCCGTCAAGACGCTGCCGCCACCGGGCACCAACACCCTCGGCCCCATCGATCGCCACACCCGCACGACCCGCACGGCCAAGAAGCCCACCACTCCTGCCATGACCACGACGAAGAAGCCCACGTCCCCCGCCACCCCGACAAGGAAGCCAACCTCGCGCACCACCAAGAAGCCCACCATCACCACCACCACCGCCACCACCACCAAGAAGCCCGCCACTACAAAGAAGCCGACCTCTCGCACCCGCACAACCCGCCGCCCGCCGCCGCGGCCGACGGTCACGCCGCCCAAGTACGAGGACTGCGGCGGCAAGCGCGTGGTGCCCAAGGACTGCCCCGCGGGCCACGTGTGCGTCGACGACCCGCGCCGGGGCGGCGGCTGCGGCATGGCCTGCGACGCCCCCGGCATCTGCGTGCGGCCCACGACGCCGTGCTCCGGGCTCGCGGGCGTCATTTGTCCCGCCGGCAAGATGTGCGTCGACGACCCGCGCGACGACTGCTGGACGTCCAACGGCGGCAGGGACTGCAGTGGCATCTGCGTGTGAGGAGGGGGGGGAGGGGGCTAGCGTGTTAATTCTCTGGAGACGAACAAAACCGGCGGCGTGTGTGTGTCAAGATTGGACAGATCGTGCTTCTGTGCGTTGAAATCGTGGTTGATATCATGGGGGAATCATCAAATGCTATCATAGCTCGCTATAAACATGAGCCTCCCTTGCCGTCACAAATCCGTCATCTACATGATAAGAAGACTCCACGCCACTACGCAGAACCTGGAATAGGTTGGTGCAAAAACAACACGGGGAATCTAGAGGACAGATACGCCCAGCAGGCGGCAACGTCTATGTGCGAGATGGTGTATATGACGGTCGTGCTAAAGCTTCCACAAGACACACTAGACGGGGAAAAAAATTTAGTCGTCCCTCCGGCCCGTCGTCAGGTCCATCTCCTCGGGCTTGACCATCTTGGTCTTGTTCTTGATCTTCCAAAAGGCGATGTTAAACAGGTAGATGGGGATGCCGATGTAGCTGGTGATGAACTTGTCGACCTGGAACGTGGGCATGAAGGCGGCGAAGCCGTTGAAGATGATGATGACGATGGTGATGAAGAGCGCGATGTAGGCGCCCCAGGGCAGGAGCGGGTTGGTGTAGGGGAGGGACGAGCGCGGTATGCCCTGGGCCTTCATGCCGCGCACCATGCAAATGTACGACACCAACACGGCGATCCAGTTGAGGGCGCCAAAGACGGTCACCATGGACACAAAGTAGCCAAAGACGACGGCGGCGCTCGTCGTCACGTTGAGGTAGCCCAGCGCGATGAAGAGCGACGACAGCGCCACGGCGGGGATGGGCACGCCGCGCTTGTTGGTGCGGCCAAACATGGCAAAGGCCTGGCCGTCCTTGGACAGGGCCCAGAGCGAGCGCGCGGCCAGGTAGATGTCCGAGTTGGCGGCCGAGATGGTGAAGACGAGCAGCAGGCCGTTGACGGCCTGGTCGAGCTTGTTGATGCCCGAGATGGTGGCGGCCACGACGAAGGGGGAGGCGTCACCCTTTGGCGTCTTGGAGGCCGCCGCCGTGAGCAGCGCCGGGTGCGTCGAGGGGACGGCCATGCCGAGCACGAGGACGCCGCCGAGGTAGAAGAAGATGATGCGGCCGAGGGTCTGGCGGACGGCCCGGGGGACGTTCTTGCGCGGGTTCGGCGTCTCGCCAAAGGCCACACCGACCAGCTCGGTGCCCAGGTAGGCAAAGGTGGCCTGGACCATGGAGGCCCAGAGGCCGAGGAAGCGGCCGGTGGGGCCCGGGATGCCGTTGTACTGCGCGAAGGCGCCGGGGTTCTCCCAGTAGTAGAAGCCGGATCGGAAGCCGTTGGGACCGCCGCCGAGCGCGATGATGAAGCAGAGCAGGATCAGCATCACGATGACCAGGGCCTTGACCAGAGACATCCAGAACTCGGCCTCGCCAAAGAAGGAGACATGGATGAGCTAGGACATGTTGTCAGCATATGTTTGGTTGTTTTTGTTTGCAAGACACCCCGCTTTCTCGCTTGCTGGGACCTGGCGAGCCGAACTCACATTGAGCAAGATGATGGCAATTCCAAAGACGGTGATCCAGACTCCGACGTTGATATCGGGTGCCCAGTATCTCAGGAGCAGGCCCGTTGCGGTCAGGTTGTTTGGCAGCACGACGGCGTATTTCAGAAAGTAATTCCAGCCTGTGGCGTAGCTGTTGGGCAAACGATTCCGTTAGCGGCCAAATATGCCCAACAAGACAACAGTAGACGTGGTCCAGCAAAGTACGAACCCGAAAGCAGGATCAACGAAGCGGGTAGCGTAGCCGGAGAAGCTCTTCTTGTGGGGAAGCCAGGTGCCCATCTCGCCGAGGGCGACCATGACGACGTAGACGACCCAGCCCATGAGGACGTAGGCGATGAGCAGCGAGCCGGGGCCGCCGTTCTTGAGCGCAGACGCGGAGCCGAGAATCAGACCAGTACCGATGGCGCCAGCAATAGCCATCTACAAAAGGGGCCATGTCAGTTAGCAAACGATTCCACGTCACCCTCTCGGCTTTCGTTCGGTTCCTGCTAGCCACCCGGCGCGGCAGCTCCAGGCCACCGCGCAGAGAGCGGTCGGGGAGTATCGGGCAGACTTGCCATATCTGGTACCCAGCAGAGAGAATGTTAGCCAAAAATGAACACGACTTCGAGTAGGCGCCTGACACCTAGAGGAGCAACGGGCGACGAACTCAGCTGGCGCGGCTTCATCCCACGGTGGAGGTCGTCCGCGGCCTCACCGACCTCGCCGTCGCTATTGACGGCGGCGGCCTCGATGGGCGACTCGGAGCGCTTCTCGTCATCTTTGCTAAAGGGGTTCCGCATCTTGACAGACTCGATGGTTCTGTGCTCTTTTTTTTTTTTTGGCTTGTTTTCCGACTTCTTTTTTTTTCTTTGCCTGTCAAGTTGGTGCTTTTTACAGACACCGACTGAGATTCCCTGACCCAATAGGCGCACGTTATTACGCGTGCTTGAATGCCTAGATGGTCAATCACCAATCTTGGATGTGGAAGTGAGCCACAAAAGGTCGGTGAATGGGACAGGGCGTGCGGCAGAAGTGACCGTGGACGCGGACGCGAGGGGTAGAGAAGGAAGAAGAAGAAAAAAGGAAAGGCTAGGAGGAGGAGGGTGGCATGGCCGGGTGTTTTAATGGCCCGGCAATTTGAGTGATCTCCTCTGCCAAGACGCAGCAGCGGCGAGGCCCCGGGCGCGTCGTGATTGTGGTGGTGGTGGTGGTGGTGGTGAGGGCGGCACGATGATGGACGAGGGTCGCACAGGAGCAGCAAGCCCACCCGTCGTATTTCCCAGCCTGGTCACCGAGCATGGGGGCCCAGGTCCGGACGAGAGGGTGGCAGCGGGGGCAGGCGTTGGAAAGGGAAGGCCACCCGTCGCCCATGTGCGCGTGTGAGCCCACGGGGGAGGGAGGGATCCACTGTCGAGTTGACGAATCCTAACGGATTGTTTGCGGAGAGATAGCAACAGGGACGCGCACGGTGGGGCCAGGCTCCCTCGACAGCCATGCCCAAGTTCCCCAGACTGATGATGGAGAGGCCGGGATGGGACATGGGATGGGACATGGGATCCCTGATACCGTCAGCGATAGACTGCCTGTTACCTGACACCCTGAGTAAGTACACAGCACAGGCCCGGACTGCTGTATGCGGACACATGCAGGTTGGTTCGGCCCCGTTGCACAAACACACACCGGGGGTTGCATCCAGCTGCCTCTTTCTCCATTTATCTCTTTCCCTTTTTCTTTTTCCCTTCCCTCTCTCACATGCCCTTTCTACAGGACCGGGACGGAATCCAGGCGGCTGGCAGCAACAACCAAATGTCAAGGCCAAATGTCAAGTGTGGGTGCATCATCAATGCGGCCCCATAAAGACGCCGTCCACTAGCTGGCAGGAACCCGCACACACACCATCAGATCAGGGAAAGCCAGCCCTTCAGCGCGAGCAGCCACCAGCGCCCTTACGCTTTGCCACTGGGAATTGCCCGCATATCTGACCGATGGTGGGGTCATGTATGCATGGAATCAATCTGTCGGTTGGTTGGGTGAGCACTTGGCTGGCAGACGAGCGAGCAGTTGACAGCGCAGGCCTGTGCCTGTGCTTTCCATCTGGAGGGAGTCGAGGCAACAGCTGGAGCCAACTGTTCGCCGGCCGAGTCAAGACCTTGGGCTGTCCACCGACCCCAAAGCACGCAATCAATTGCTGCGAACAAACTCCACCTGGCCACTTGCGTCGGGATTTATATATGATAGGAAATAAATACCAAACGTTACGTACATTGTTAACTTCCAAGATTATTGGCTTCCAAGACACCTACCACCAGTAACAACACGCGTCGTCGTCGTCGTTCCCCAATCGCCAAGTCGAGTGGGCGTTGTTCGTGCCGTTGCCCAGGCGGAGAAGCGGGGCGTCCCGGATCTCTTGACTTTTTCTTGTGCGCTGGGAAACGAAGCTTCTTTGCGCCAGCCAAGCGTCCTCCAGACCACCCGTGGACCCCCCGAGTCCCAATCTGGCCACCGAGAGTGGCCTGTTCGCGACCGGATGTGGGCCCTTTCTCCTTATCCGAGCCTGTAGTACTTGCCACCTGGCAGCTTGACCGAGGCTTAGACGCCCCGCCCAGAGATCGGCTGCTAGGCACTTGGCAAGCCAAGGAGGCCTGGACTCGGCGCGGGGGGATGCCCAGAACGGGAAGATGTCTGTTTTTATTGGAGCGCAGAAAGAGGAAGGTCCGAGACGACCGGCAGGGGGGTTGGTCCAATGTCCGGTGCCGACTCCTGACTGAAGAGCAAATCTCTAGGTTGGAATTTGACATTATGCCGTTATCTCTGCCATCTCGTGCCTGCCTGTTGGAGTTGAGCACTGAAGTTGAGCACTGATTCATTGATGGCTGAAGAAGAGGGGAACGAGAAGAACAGACTTTGGGTTCAAAAAATGCCAGCCCCCAGCCGTTCGCAGGTGCGCGCCGCGTGCCCCAGGCACCCAGGACTCGACACCGACACCATTGCGCTCCAAGATGCTGCCAGAGCACGCCAACGGGCCGGGTGCGAACGGGCCGTTGATCGTCAAGCTACATGTCCAGGAAGCGCTCCATTGTCCGAGGTTACCGCCTCGGTTCCGACTTTGACGACCGAACAACAGAAACCTCGCGCCATCGCCCTCGGTCAGACCCTACAGGTGCGGGGATACGGCTTGGCAACCGCTCCATCGCCGGCCGCAAAAGCCACGTGGAGCTCAGCCTTGGTACAGTAGAGACCTCCGCTATATATTCATACCTATTGCTATATATAAATACCTAGCATATGGCGTAGCGACATGCGCGTGGCTCCCGGCAAGCGGCCGTGTGCTCCAAGTCCCCAATTGGCACCGGATGGCGGCCCGGTTCCAGGCACATGGTCCCAGGCACATAGCCCTGTCACGAGCACTATATACACACCAGTTGCGCCTAGGGCAGCTGGTGGCTGAAGCCACCAACATTCTGCCCATTCCCTGAGTGGCGGAACTTAAACAAACTGACGATATCCACTGATGTGGTTCATTTTCTTCCATCGTCAACCTGAACCGTCACATCACACATCCTGCCGTTTCCTGCTATTTCTAGCATGGTCTCACAAGAATCCAGTCACTCCCTACGAATCACAAATCACCAAATGGTAGAAATAAGGGCAGTACAAGGCAATACCTCAAAGCCCGTCATACCGTAGAACGGGAAAGGAAGAAAGAAAGAAAAACGCAAAGGGCATGATACTCAGATGCGCCACCATGGGCGGCCAGGTTACCAGCCGCGCTAGCTGCGGCTGACTAGTGGCGATTGACAAGCTCGACAGTGCCTGTCGGCCGCCCCACGGGCATGAGGAAGGTCAGAAGGGTCGTGCCCACAGCCAGTGCGGAGAAGTAGGAGGCGGAAAATAGGAAGACGGACAAAAAAAAGTAAAGGCAAAACAAGTAAAGAAGGCTAAAATGAAGGGGAAATATCTAATGGCAGGGTGGTGGATGGTGGTGGATGGTGGTGGCCGAGCCTATTGCCAGTCATCAACGCGATAGCTGTCACACATCACACTTTACCGCGTCGTCCTCCGTTTGTTCCCATACTGGCCAGTGTGCTGGCTTGTTCCTTTGTTCGATGCCTTTTTTTTGTTGTACAACAAAACCCGGCTGCGAGCTATTTCTATAGTTTCCCCGAACTCTTTTGCCTTCTACATCGCCACCTCTCAAATGATGCGCGTCCACGCCCCCAAGGTCGGTGGCACCGTGATCCGTGTCGACTGGGATCATGTGGCCCCAAACACCAGGCCGTGGGAGCAGAGGAAACGGCCTTTGACCACCTTGCGTTTGCCCGTTATACCTCACTTAATTACTCCCTTCCTGCGCAGATTACCGTAATTACTGTTGTCCACCGTCACTAGGAGCTTTCCGAGCCTAGCAGCAGGAGTAGCCGGCTCCTACCCACAGCCCCGTAGAAATATTATCGACGCTCTGCGGAACCGCTTTGCTTTTAGTGGCATAGAATCAGTCCGCTACGCATACTCATAATGATGATCCGGGTGTTGGTGTGAGGAGGGCTGTGAATAGACTCCTATTGTCATCGCACTGGGGGCATTCCAGCCAAGGCGAGTCACACTGGAGGCTGATGGTCTCAACACCTTCTGCCCAAGTAGCGTCGAAAGAACAATTGTGCGTGGCTATCGTCCCATGATTTGGGACGTCCCGTGGGTTGTACAAGTGGAACTCGGATGAGCCCGGTGTGTGTTGACTGTTTTCACCACGGACTGGACGACCTCAAAGGTAGGCAGCCAACAGATAGCGCTGCGATGCTGGCTTACAAACAAAGATCAAGTCCTCAATGTGTGTGACACGTGTGGGTGGCGCCCAGCTGGACCCACAGAACATCCTCGGAAATCACGGGTATTTCCCGGTGACATCACCGTGCCGGCAATTTGCTCCGTTTCCCATAGCGCTGCCCAATTGACTTCCATGCTCGGCCCTAGACCCCTTCTGCCTTTCAAATCATCAAATTAACGTTTCTGCCCAACCGAACAGCGACGGGTCCACTTAATGGGGTGCCTCCGCCAGCGTTGCTGTCCCACCAAGACAGTGCACGCGTCACGTCCGACTTCATCGTTTGCTTCCAACTTTTGGTAGTATTTTCTCGTCTATTTGTCTTGTACTTGTTGGCGCCGCTGCATGTCGATACAGAACAGCAATTGACATCGGTTCTGATACAAAATCATATTTAATTCCGCACATTGTTTTGCATCCGCTAGACGCGCGCCTCTCGTGAGTCGATCCGCCGCAGGGATTCCCCGTCGGAAGATGGCGGCCGCATCACAATCGCGATAGCCGCCACACTCGACCGACAACCGGTGCAGCGTTCCATCCCGTCCATGGAGGCCTTGCTAGCGCGCCTGTTCCCCGGCTGGGGAGAGGCGGCCTCGGAGCCGCACCATGGCAGCAAGCGGCCGCGGTGGGCTAGGAGGAAAGCCAGGGGCGCGACTGCGGAGCCCACAGCCGCGGCGGCTCAGGAGCGGGACACGAGGGCATTCCATGAAAGCCTGTGGAGGGTTGGCAACCTGCCACGCGGGGTGCCGCCTCCAAGAACTGAAATGCTCAAGATACTCGGATACAGCACAAACCAGGTTGCGACTACCAATGTCTTGGTCGCGTTCCTGGCTGCGCCGGGGGTCGGCGTGCGGTCTCTGATACAGAGGGTAAGGCGGTCTCGGCTATCATTCAACTGTGTCAAGGAGGTTGGCTGACTTGGGCGATTTGCATCGCCACCCTCACAGACCCGGTTTGGCAGCATGGATTGCACAACGATGGACATACCATACGCTACCCCGCCGCCACAGTACCTCTGCGACGGCAGCGTGTACACCCTAGGAATGGCGAAGCTACCGTTCGAGGGGTTTCTCAACAGCGGGCTCGCGACCAGTTCCGAGCACATGGCCGTGGTTCTTGCCTATGCTGTCAACTCGCCGGCCTCGTTGGAGGCTGCAAAGGAGCTGCAGAGCGCGCTCATCCGCAGTATGCAACAACGCCGCGCCGAGAGCAAGCACCAGCGGGTTGCCCAGGAGCGCAAGCGGCGCAGTCGCCGAGGTCGAGAGAAGCCCAGGGACCTGGAGAAGGGGCCGGCCCAGATTGCGGAGCCGAAGGCCCCTGTGTCGGTCCGCCCTCCGCCGTTTCCCGTCATACTTCTCGGCCTCCAAGCAGATCTGCCTCGACATAGGGATCTCGAGGGCAATGGACCCGGGCGTCAGCCTGAGAATCCACAAGGAGACGACATCAGTCCCGCACCTGCAGCAGTGGAGGGCGTGGACACACGGCGGCGGAAGCTCGAGGCCTGGGGATTCGAATGGAGCCGCACCATGCTCCACGCCGAGGTGTCTGCGAAGACAGGCAGCGGAGTGCTCGAGGCCTTGGGACAGCTTGTGGAGGGAGTTGATGCAGCAGCCAAGGCAGTGGCGGATGCGGACGCCACATTAGAAGATATGCGGGATCACTGGATACCAGCCGTCGCCCAAGTCGCTGAGGATTCGGCAAAGGCCGACGGTTCCACTGCCCAGCCCCGATGAGCGATCGGGGCCGGGTTTCCCTTTGTTTATATGTTATCTCTTTTCACATCCACCTTGTTCTCCTTGCACAAATTTTCCTCACCAGGGTCAGGGCGCCGGGGATTTTCTTGAATACCTAGGTTGGGACGACGAAGTAGCGGGGAAACAGGGACATTAAATGCATCACCGTACACACGGCGGGAAACCAGCCGCTTCCTTATTATAGACCATAGCAGTTCATACGCAGTAATACCCACTTCATCCTTGCCTTTAAGCTGCGAGCAAGAAAAAGAATGACACCGCTTTGCTAGAAGCACATGGCTGGATTCTGCAGGTACGGCCGGAGATTGCAGCGTTTTGTCGGTGAACCGTATTGTGGGCAACCAACTGACTGTCGTCCCCTATGCAGGCATGGCATCCATGTCACCGGCCTCGGTGGGGTTGCTTTTTCCCGCACGGGATCAACGCCTTGGGATGCAATGGCGGTGAAACGCTGTGCAGCTGGAAAAACCCACCACCATGTGCTCAGCCCTTTACCACACATTGCCGTAATTGACCATAGCCCCTACATACGAAAAACTGAGAGGCTGGGCTATGGACGTTCTGGTCAGAGATACGTGTTCCCTGGCATCACGGTGATTACAGCATGCGAAAGAATCCCTTCAAGTTTAGGGCTGGGAAGCACCCTACAGATAGGGTTTGAAAACAGATGTGGCTAGCGGAGCGATCCAGAGATGAGCAACATTCATGCAATGCAAAGGCGGGATGCCCAGGCGGTTTTTTGTGTGAAACGGACTAGGCTTACTTTCCCATACCAGAGATCACTCGCCGAAAAGGCAGATCGCAAGCTCGTCATGCACAGAATTCAAGGGGAAACTGGAGCTGTCCAGTTGCTTATTGGTGTACCAGCACCGAGCCGGCTTGGCTACAGCTGGGGATGATGGACCCTTTCGGCGGTGCAGGAGCGCAGATGCAGGAAGCCACCAACATACCCTGTCCCAGACAAGGCACATGCTGGCGACCTGCGTGTGCGTGCTGAGCAGCGCAGAAAGACAAAGACGCGACCTGCAGACGACACCTAAACCAAGCAAAAGCGTCTCCAGGTACTGTGTACTTGGGTAGTCGACACCCAGAGGGGTTCTCGCACGCAACATGGGATGGATTCGTGTTATTTTAGGCAACGGCCCGGATGGAGAAACGCCCGCTTGGATTTGCATCTATGGCGACACCAGACATTTGTCCCCTCTGATGGGCGGCTCCTTCAGGGCTCCTTGCTCGTCCCATTTCATCTTTTTGGCTTCGGCAGCAACCCAACCCAGCAGCCAGCCCAAAGCGGGAGCAAACGAATCATGCAAGGATCCTGCCCACAAAGGACGTGCACGGTTGCCGGGCTAGCCCCGCTAAACCTAAAGAGGCCTAGCGCGATGCCAGCTCCAGGAGAGCACCCATCGCAAAGGCGGCCAAGCCAGAACATCAACAACAGAATCCTGCCTGGACACAAAGCGCCAACCGTCGCCCATCGACATCGCCGCCAGCACCGACAGCCCTCGACGCCGGGCTCTGGCCGGAATCTCAGCCAACCGCCAAAGCAGCAACAGGTAAGGAGCCGACCGAACGGCTCACCCGACAAAAGCCCCTACGACCACCGCGCCCGCACGTTTTCTCGCACGACCCAGCCCCCCCTTTCCAAAGCTACGCCCGCTCGCTCGACCGACTGTTTGCCCAGCCGCCGTGGTGTCTGTTGACGCCCGCCCGCGCGCAGTTTGGCCGCAATCCACGACGACGACGACCACGACGACTTACGACCTTGTAACTGCATTCCGCCGAGATTCTCTTCGTCATCATCCTTTTCAGCATCGCTTCTTGTTCCTTGTTCGTCTTCTGTCGCTTTTATTGCCAAGCGCAGCCCAACGTCGCCGCACCCACCACGCTCGACTCTCGCTTGCCGACCGCCCCTCCTTTTTTTCTGCCCTCCCAACCACCGCCACCCGCGACCACCACCCCGACCAGCCTGCCCCCGTGGCTTTCGCGCCCATCACATGCAACTTGCCGCCCCGACACGGCGCACCACATAATCCCCTCCGTTTACCATGGCGGAGCCCCCGTCATCGCCCCCACCGGCCGGAGCCAGCGCTGAAGATCAGCTTTCTTGGTACAAGGCGCAATACGAGCAGCTCGAGCTGGAATTAGCCGACTTCCAGCAGTCCAGTAAAGAGTTGGAAGGGGAGCTGGAGAAGGACCTCGAAGCCGCCGACAAGCGGGAGCGCGGGCTGCAGGAGAAAGCAGAGACTCTCGGGTACGAGGTGGACGAGTGGAAGGCAAGTTTGGAATCGTCACCGCCCTTTGTGGAGGCGCGTTTCATTTGCGCCGCCTCAGCTCGCCCTGGCATGCCTCGATGCCGGCCCTGCCGTGGATGGCACGCGGCCGATCAAAACGCAGAATGCGCCTTGCTAACTTGCCGTCCGCGCCCCGCTGCAGACCAAGTACAGGGAAGCCAAAGCAGAGGCAAACGCAGCTCAGAACACACTAGAGAAGGAGGTCACGTCACTGCGCGACACCAACCGGACTCTCCAACTGAAGCTACGCGACATAGAGGTCGCCAACGACGATTACGCCCGCCAGGCCCGAAACACCACCTCTTCACTCGATGACCTCGAGTCCAAATACAATGTCGCCATCGAGCGCGCCGTCCTGCTCGAGGAGGAGATCAAGATAGGCGAGCAAGAAAGAGAGACGCTACGCATCGACTACCAGCGGCTCAAGGACGAGCTTTCGGACCTCAAGATCGAGGCCGAGATCCTGCAGGGCAAGGTCCAGAAGTACGAGGCCCGCCACCTATCCTCCATCTCGACCGACATATCCGTGCCCGAATCGCCCACCTTCGATCATTCCCCGAGCTCGACGGCGAGCTCGCCTCTGATAACGACGCCGCCCGACTCCAAGTCGGTGGCGACAGCCGAGACCGTCTCCGAGTTGCAAGACCCGCCCTCACCACCCATGTCTGAGGCCTCGTCGACTCTGCCCAAGGTCAAGGCGCCTCTTCGGACCCCTGCCCCTTCGTCGCAAAAGAAGTCGCGCCTACCGTCTGCCGACAACAGCGTCACGCCGAAACCGCGTCAGCTCTTCACCTCCTCCACCTCCCGGCCTCCAGGCTCGCGGGTCGCCACGGCATCCCACGCCCGTACCCCCGCCCCGCGGCCGACGGCGACCTCGACAAAGCGCGCTGCCTCGCACAAAATTCCCAGCTCTACCTCACTATCGCACATTCGCTCGCTCACAGCACAGATGCAGCGGCTCGAGGCCCGTGTACACTCGGTACGCTCCAAGCTTCCCGCACCCGTCACCACGCCGCCACGTGCCTCGCCCCGAACTGCCGGCGTCCCTGTTCCCTCGACGGTTACGATCCGGTCGAGGAAGCGCACGATGGGCAGCGCAACATCGTCGGTTACCGGCACCGAAGATGCGACCCCGACGGCCGGGAGGTCCAGTATCGGCGGCGCTGGCAGCACAAACAACTTCTCGTCAAGCACCTCGTCAAACAGGAGCCACGTGCCACGACTGTCAACGTCTGGGGTATCGCGCCTGTCGTTCGGGCCGCTACCAAACCGAAACCCCCTGGACCCAGATGCCTCGCGACCCTCCTCTCGGGCGTCCGTCACCTCGTACCGTCCGGCTAGCAGAACGGATGTACACGGCGCGTCGTCCAGGGACATGCCGCCGCCGCGACCGATCAGCCGGACGTCGATGAGCGGGGCGAGGACGCCACTCGGGGTACGGCCGCGCAGCTCCATGAGCGGCAGCATGTCGGGCTACGGCGCCGAAGCCGAGGACGAGTTCGACCCTGCGCTTCGGACGCCTAGCAGGCGCGGAACGTACAGCAAGTTCGACGTCGACGGGTCGGCGGTCACGAGCGGGATACCCATGCCATCGTCCACGCGGAGGCAGAGCGGCGGGCCACCGGCTGCTGGGAGGCGCTCCAGTGCCGCAAACAAGGTTCTAGAGGACTTGGGCGAGACTTACTGAGTGGGGATGGCAGTGTCGTGAGGGCTGGGTGGCTACTCCTAGTGTTCGCCATCCTTCCCTACCCGCTGCCACCTCTGTTCCCCGTTATTCTACTTCTGAACCCCCTTTTTCCAGGTCTGGTTTGACGAGCATTTTGGGACAACCAGCAGCACTCACGAACTTCTAATTACGGCGGAACAATCTTGTTCACCTTACAAATGCCATTTCTTGGGCCTTTCTTTTTCTTTGTCACGCCTTTTTTCTTCACGATACCATCGGCCCAAGTTACCCACGCTTGCCGGCATTCTACCGACTCTTTTCTTACACCCACATCATCATGCCCACGGGCTTCACTCCTCACGTTCTCCTTTGCTCATTGCATGGCGTCGTCTCTACCAGTCTGCCATTGCGACATGCTGTATTGCATGGGAATGTCTAATGGGGAGAGTACTTATGAGAATGACTGTCCTCTTCCTTGTTGGACCTCTCACGCTTGTTGTTTTTCCACGGACCTTTTTGTTCGTAGGAGTTTTTTTTGGTCACATATTCATGATATACCTCTCTCCTTTGTCTATTTGTTTTAGTCTGATCATGCTTCGTTGTGTTGCTGGTCTTGAAGAAATCGCCCTTCCATCTTTTCTGCCACTTAGAGTGTGGTATAAAGGCCGTTGTTGAATGCTCTTGCAAGCCATGTTACTGTGCGCCAATCGTGTCTGCTACCGGCGAAAAGTTGCTGAGCATAGTTCTCAAGCGGGCAACATCGTTGGTTTCACCAATTTCTGTGTGCCAATGTGAGATTCCCTCGTTAGATAAGGGAAAGTTCGGATGCCCCATCACACGAAGCTGGACGGGGCCGCGATGCATGAATATCGGCGCCACTACGGAGGCAGGCCGCAACGGGAAGATGCGATATATGCATGATGATTTGACTGCGTGGGTCCAGCTAACGTGATGATTGATTCGCAGCCAAGAGGCCAGAATCGGGCAGAATCCCCATGCAAGACACGAGAATCTGCGCAAAGAGATGGGCCAATTCCCCATCAGCAAGATTGGGTGAAAGTGTGAATCCGACGACAACATCATTTCCGGCAGGGCCCCTGTGCTTGGACGTGGCGTTTAGGCTGTTCGTATTTTTCTCCCCTTCCATCGCTGGCGCCCTGGCCTCGGACATTCCCCCAAAGGAAGGCCGCCAGTGCTGTTTCGCGCCCAAGGCATGTAGGTTTTCAAGAAAGTAGACGATGGTTGGGGCAGGGGACAACCAGCTGACCGTGATCTTCAGGAACAGACACCGCTCGGGGACACTCCCACAAGCACGGCACTAAATACCATGCCGTCGGTTCCGGGGGGCGGTAGCCTCGGTCTAGCTCCGGCCCCATGACGTCTTACGAAGACGAGACAAAATTAGGGCGACGAGAACTATAGAGCCCCAAGCCGCACTAAGGGAAAGGCTAAAGTGCTGGCAGCGATTAAAAAAATTACAACACGGACGGGCGGACGGGCGGACGGGCGGGGAAGCTCTCGGACAGATCCCGGCGCGGACAATATGTTGGGGATCTGCGGCTCAAAGGAG